GAGAACTGGGTGACCTGTTAAGCCAGTAAGGTCACCATATGTTGGGGTGCAGCCTTGGGAAGCATCCTTTGTTGATCCATATACTGAACCTGTGATCACCAGCCTCCAGCGCCTACCGGGAGCTTTGTCGTTCATCAAGAGAGCAGGTGAAATGGAAGCGACTTGGCCCTGTCATTTGACACACATGCTGTAGTGAGAGAGAGACAGAGATACAAAGAGAGAAAGAGAGAGAGAGAGAGAGAGAGAGAGAGAGAGAGAGAGAGAGAGAGAGAGAGAGAGAGAGAGAGAGAGAGAGAGAGAGAGAGAGAGAGAGAGAGAGAGAGAGACGGATTCAGACTTGGATCCAGAGCACACACAGGCAGAAGTAGAAGTGAAGCAATTCATATTTGTCGGTGACTCAAGCTCATGTTGGTACCTTTGGGGTTAAATGCTGAGAAATACATTAAGTTCTGTATTAAGGGAAATAGCCATGAGGACTAAACAGTTGTTTGAAATGGTGGGTTAAGATGGGGATTGATGAAGGGAAATACAGTATGTCCAATTTCCATGTGTGTTTTACAACTTGTTTTTTATTATAAAGACATTTGAAGTGTGGAGAGTGAAAAACTCCCTAACTTAAATAAATAATATAAGAGTGAAGTAACATGATCAACAACAGACGTTCTTTGCCGTCTGAGGCTCCAAAGGTGGGAGCAGCGCTCCCCCGTCCTCCCTTGGTAATTGTTCCTTTGTATTTACCTTTGAGTAACAATTTCCCCTTCCTCCCATTTTTATCCTCCCCTAGAATGAGTTAAGTTTCCCTTCATCCCCTAAACCTTCCCCTTTGGGTTACCTAAGGAGTCCAGCACTCCCATTCTGGAGTAACTAAAAGAGGAGCACAGTTGCCAGAGTAAATAAGGTTGTAACTGAGGTTAGAGGTTGGTAACAGGGGTAACAAACACGTACACGGCTAAAGGGTAACTTAAGCCCTAAGGTATAATTTATACTAAAGATTCAAAACGTAAAATACTCAGAAAACCCATATATGAAAAAATGAAAACCCAAAACCCCTCCCACATGCCAATAGTTCTCTCTCTCTCTGTTTATATATATATATATATATATATATATATATATATATATATATATATATATATATATATATATATATATATATATATTTATTTATTTTTTATTTTTTTTTTCAATAGGGAAGGGAGAATATATATATATATATATATATATATATATATATATATATATATATATATATATATATATATATATATATATATATATATATATATATATATATAACTATGTGTGAGTTTTCAGTTGCATATTGTCCTGGGGACCATTCAGGCTTGTTCGCATATATATATATATATATATATATATATATATATATATATATATATATATATATATATATATATACCTCTCTCGAGTCTTTTCCCCTCTCCTCTTTAATAATAGGCGGGAGCAACATGGTGTCTGGGCGTGGCGGGCGGGAGTGTCCGGCGGGTGACTCACTATGGGCCACGTGGAGGGGGGGCGGGAAGGGGATGGACATTACTGGGTTAAAGGCGACGACCTGCTCTTACCCTGGCTGCTGCTGATGGCGGCGTCCTGGAGGGGGGGATTAAGGCTCTCCCAGATCCCACCGACCCAGGTGTCTTGGGGCTTTTACCTGTGATCAGTTTACTTTAGAGGGATTTTCTATTTTCGCAGCCTGGCGTGGGCTCTTACTTCCTACTTGATAACTCGGTCTGTAAAGTTGTTGGTGTTAGCAGCCCGTAGGCGTACATACCTAGTTACACCCGTGCTTGACCCGAATGAGCGCACGACTACTTCACAGGAATGTGAGATCCTGTTGGTGGAACGTCCAAATAGCAAAGGATATTTAATACAAGGACTGCCTTGATTTATTAATGGAGAAAACGTGTACTGCAATATACCCCACTATACAAAAGAAACTGCTTGCAAAAATACTCAAGCTTTGCCAAATGTCACATAAAAGGACAATTTCACAAAGTAGAGAGTAATGATAAGGAAATGAATAAAGTCGTGAAATAACAGCGAAACATGTTTTCGTGTGTCCAAGGATGAAGGCCAGATGCTTGGGGCATCTGGCCTCACCCAACTATGTAGGGGCAATGGTCTGGGGTATGGGATGGACATAGGCTGGTCGGGATCTTCAAAATTTATAAGGGAACAATATGTCGGTCAAACACTGACCACCACCATTTTGGCACTACCTGCCAGCTATGCCAGCCGAAATATTTTAAAATATTAAAAATTCTTATAGTAATATGGAAAAACTATACACTGATCTTGGGAAATTTTTAATTTGTTTATTCATCATACTTTGCTCATAGTAGCATAAAACAGATGATCCTCCCACAGCTTGAAATGGTCACTGCTTGATCGCAAGCGGGGATTTTTCTGGCGGGGGAGAAAGAAACAATTGCGCAGCGCGTCCCGCGGCGTTGCGCGGGCAGTTTGGGGCCGTATAAATACGGGCGCACACTGGGGCTCTGCCTCACTCCGCCTGCCCTCGCCGCTGCCCTCGCAAAACTTATATAAATTATATATTTTGAAACTTTATATATTTACATGTTCAATATTAAGTTTAATAATATCAACTTTGTTATAGTCTATAATATAAACCGTGTTTAATATAAACTTTATATAATTACTTACTTTATATTTGAACTTTATATATTTACATGTTCTGCAGAATTTAATCTTCAATAAACTTTAACGCCCCATACTGCCAGTATCTTTCTCCCCCTGGTCAGAAAAGGATTTCTCTAGCCACACCACTTTATCAAAGCAAATTAGTAACAATTATATTTTTTAATATTTCACAATACACCGCTAGGCTCCTCTCACTGAGCGGACCGACCTCCCACATGCCAATAGTACTATTATCAAAATAATGAGAGAGATAAAGTCAGCAAAAAGACACAGAATGAGAGACAATCAGAAACAAGAGAGCCCAGGTCGATCAGGGCAGCGAGAGCCCAGCAAGTCGACTGGGTGAGTACTGCATATATGTAGGCACGCAGGGCGGTGGTGGTGTGCCGACTGTGTGTAGGCACGCACAGCACAGCTATGTAAATACTTTCAGTCAAGTGCAGTACTTTATTATCCCCCGACCCGCAACGAGCAGGATGGTAAAGGTGGTGGAACTCGATATTAAAGGAGACGTGACTGTGGATGTCTGGCAACAGTTCCCTATATAACCCTCTCGCTTGCCATAGTACCAATTAAGTCTTTAGGCACCATGACAGGTACTGTATTGTCTACCCTAAATAATCATGGACTGTGATATGTTATTTAATCAGGCTTCTTTGTCCGTGTTTTATTAATGGTCTATCCATTGAAGCCTTTAATTTAGGTACTGCCTCCCTTGATATTAATTAACCTTGAATCTATATTCTTAAAGGACACAAATCAATTTCTACAAAATTTTGGTCTAAATTAAAGGTCGGGTTACGTGAGTTACCAACACTGAGTTTCAATTCCTGAGCCCATTGTCCCTGTGAGAACTCTTACACTGCCACTCATGGGATAGTATGGGGTGCATAATAAACTAATCAACCTTATTATCTTTGTATACAACCCGTTCTCGCAAATTTAATAAGTCAATATTGACTTATTAGTTGCGTGCATAGGTGACATACTAAACATAATAGTTTCCCTTGAAAAGCTTCATAGAAAACACCGACCTTACCTAACCTACTTAGTATTTTAAAATAAGCATCTTATAGCTTCGTAATTACAATTGTTACTTAACCTATTATAGGTATAGGTTAGGTAATAATTGTAATTACGAAGCAATAAGATGCTTATCTTAACATACTAAGTAGGTTAGGTAAGGTCGGTGTTTTCTATGAAGCTTTTCAAGGGAAACTATTATGTTAAGTATGTCACCTATGCACATATTTAATAAGTCAATATAGACTTATTAAATTTGTAAGAACGGGTTGTTGTATGGGGAGTGAGGGGGAGGGTGAGAGTAAGGGGAGAGTGAGATTGAGGGGAGAGTGAGATTGAGGGAGGGGAGGGTGAGAGTGAGGGGAGGAGATGGGAAGGGGATGAGGGGAGGGGAAGGGGGTAAGGAGAGGGTGAGAGTGAGGGACATAGAGGGAGAGAGGGGGAGGGACATAGAGGGAGAGAGGGGGAGGGACATAGAGGGTGGGGGACATAGAGGATGAGGGACATAGAGAGAGAGAGGGTGAGGGACATAGAGGGAGAGAGGGTGAGGGACATAGAGGGAGAGAGGGTGAGGGACATAGAGGGGAGAGAGGGTGAGGGACATAGAGGGGAGAGAGGGTGAGGGACATAGAGGGGAGAGAGGGGGAGGGACATAGAGGGAGAGAGGGGGAGGGACATAGAGAGAGAGAGGGGGAGGGACATAGAGAGAGAGAGGGATGGAAGGATATTAATATTGTTTAGATTTAGGTCTGGGGCTAGGTACAAAAACTAATTAGGACTGAGTAAGGTATTAGAACCAGTTAGGGTATCATCACCTTGTTGTGCCTTCATTATCAAGATGACCCCGTGGAACACTATGTAAGGAAGTAATAAACTTTTTTTCCTATTCTTCCATATGCTGTACACTGTATCTTGTCTTTACTGTTACAAATCATTTGCCATATCATTGAATCCCGTTTACAGCTTCCAGAATTACAAGTCTTATAATTGGGGATCATAACAATGTACTTGCTTGCTTTTAACATGTGTTAATACATGAGTAAGATAGGATAGCGTGTTAAGATAAATATGCGAGTTGAAGTTGCTGCAGTCTCTTAAATAATTTTTTTTTTTTTTTTTTTTTTTTTTTTTTTTTTTTTTTGATGTTTGATGTTTTTTTTTTTTTTTTTTGATGATTTTTTTAATGTTGAATGTTCATTGATTACTAATAACATTAAGCAATTTCCAATTGAGAAATAACTTAATAAAACATTATTTGATGGCTACAATTTATTGATTACTACTTTTATTTATTGCAGAGTGCCCAGAACCGTCTGCTGATCAAGGGTGGTAGAGTAGTCAATGATGACATGATGCAGGATGCCGACGTTTATATAGAGGACGGCATCATTAAGTGAGTATTTGTTCCCCAGATTGTGCTTGTGCAAGTTCATATGATCTTCAGTTAAATGAAATAGTTACAGTTTCAGGAACAGAAAGCCTGTACTTAGGTTCATTAAGGGCCCCCCCCCCCCAACAGACCAATTCTGACTGTTCCATGAGAAGATCCCACAATAATTGCCAAACTCTCAGATACCAATTTCACAGCTAAGTGAACAGGGCCATCAGGCAAAAGGAAATATGCCCAACTGTTTATGTCCTGTCTGAGGATTGAATCAAAGTCCCCCTCATTTGTGAGTCGAGGATATAGACCACTGTGCTACAGGACCCATCTACTGTATTTTCTGAGCTTAAAGGAAACACACCTGGCATGGGGACTTTTAATAATAAATTCATAGTACAGTATATAGTAATATACAAAAAGGTAAATATTATAAAAGGGGCCACTGTAATTGAATTAAAATTAAAGTAATAAATATTATAATTACAGTACGTACTAAATATTATAATATTTGCCCCTTTATAATATTTATAGTAATTTGCAGTAAACGTACATTAAAGTTACAAGTAAAACTTAATTAAGTAATTAACTTTACAAGAACTTAAGTAATATAGTTTCATAAAACATGATTAATATATATAACTAAGTAACTTACATAACGAACATAATAGTAACTAAGTTATCATTAAAATAAGTAACAAAGTAACTATTTAAATAGTTACAAGTAGGAGAAACTTAATTGTTACCAAGTACAAATTACAGATATGCTTAGTTGACTTGCATGTGCCTACAACGTAGCTTTCCCATAACTCATATTGTACAGAAAGAATTTGAACTTAATAAGCCTTACATTGGCTTGTAATTAAGATGTAGACAAGTTAGGGTAGTTTAACTAAGCTATGCAATTAGGTTCCACTTCATGCAGTAAACGTATCACTTTGGAGGGTTCCAATGGAGCACCCCCAACCACCAGGCCAGCTGGCACGGAAACCCCAACCCGAAGGGCAAACGGAAGCTTCTCTGGTAAAATGTATGAATGTGTGATTTTTGTATTTATATTTAATTAATTTTTTTGTTGTATCAATGTTTTACAGACAAGTTGGCCTCAATCTACATACGCCTGGTGGGACACGGGTAGTGGAAGCCAAGGGTCACCTGGTCATACCAGGTTAGTAAGAATGTCCGATGGTCCAAATATGTACTAAAAAAGGTAAGGGTTTAGTTTTTACTTAAATAATAAGTATGCTATTAAATTTTAGTACTTTGAATTTCTTTAAACCCTTTAAAATTAGGCACAGCACTGTATACAGTATTTACTAGCTCTGAAGTAATAGGTAATAAAATATATTTGCATGTAATATGTACCTTTGGAACTTTATTTGGTTAAGATTATGATACAGTATTTCCAGCTACTGTTCAGGTGTACAGTATAAGAATTAAAAATTTGGCTGGAAGAATGTGTCCATTGCAGCACATGTCCTGTTAACTTACTTCACAGTTCTCCTAGCCAGCATTGGAGGCACTAAGAGAACCATTGGTACTGAAGGTTTTGTCTAACCATATCTGGTAAGCCACTACAGAGGAATTTTGGAAGTAAGCAGACTATGAGTGTGTATGTAGACCCTAGATTCTGATGTTTATCTAACCAGAATTTGAGTCGCGTCACAATTCTGTCCAGGCTAAAGAGCGAGTCTCCAAGTCACTTTGGGATGCTCAAGCTCATAACCTGGAGGATCTACTGAGGAGACCCGCCAGAAAGTGGTGTTTTATTACATTCAATGACAAACAAATGATAGAATTCATCAGAGTCTAGAATTTACTGTATTTACTAGCAAACTAGAAAAGGCTGCATATTGTATTAGTATTGTATTTTCCTACTTTGATCAATGTTTTTTTCTCCAAATAGGTGGCATTGACACTCACACTCATATGCAGCTGCCTTTCATGGGAACATTTGCTGTGGATGACTTCTATACAGGCACCAGAGCTGCCCTTGCAGGAGGAACCACCATGATTAGTAAGAAAAATTTGTTTCTCAATAGTTTTCCCATTATTTATGCAATATAGTGCTCTAAAATATTGTTTTAGATTGATAAAACTATAGTAAAAAATAAAAAAGTTTTGGTGATAAATACAGGTTTCAAAAGTGAGCATTGTTACTTAAACTGTCTCACCACTTAAATGAGTTGGCTGGAATGCTTTGTGGCTGATAATCATCAAAGATATTTCTTTATGACAATTATGTTAATTAACATCTCTAATTTATTATTTAAATTACATTTTAATATAATTTCATCCCACAGTGGATTTTGCCCTGCCTCAGCGTGGAGAGTCACTGGTAGAGTCTTATCATCGTTGGCGTACATGGGCCGACTCAAAGGTGTGCTGTGACTATGCACTTCATGTCGGAGTCACATGGTGGTCAGACAAGGTAAGAATCTTATTCCTTAATATTATTTATAAATATAAAAATAAGATCTTATCAAAGATGTTTGTTGCTCATAATTACCTTGCTTTGACATGGGTTTCATTATTTTTGTTTAAACAATTTCCTACAATGTACAGTATGACTGTTACTCATAAAATTACATTACTTTCATTAACCAGTTTTTAGGTAATTTTCAAGTTTACTTAATGACCATCTTTAGACAGAGTTTTACAATTAATGAGGTTCTGAAATCTAATGTAATATATAAGCTAACAAAATAACTTATTATAATATATGCAGGTGGCTGAAGAGATGCAAGAGTTGACTGAAGAACATGGAATTAACTCCTTCAAAATGTTTATGGCCTATAAAGACACATGGCAGCTAGGGGATGGAGACCTCCTGAAGGCATTTAAAAGCTGCAAGGAACTTGGTGCGCTGGCTCAGGTGCACGCTGAAAATGGGGACATCATAAAAGAGGTCAGCACCTGCAGCCACTTGTGGCATTAATTATTTTATGTAGCACACTTTCAGATATTTGTTAGTGAACTAAGGCTCTCATTACTTCCACTAACCTTGCTCCAAAAAGCAAAATTTTTTAACCTGAATTTACCTGATGGGTAACATTTAAAATGGGGTAAATTGTACTTTTTCTCATTCCATACATGTATCTGTACATTTGCATGTGTGTGTGTTCTGAAGATTATTTTTGCAAAATTTTGCAAAACCACCTTTTTAATTAATTATCATCACCTGGTGATTTTATTAAAATTTGCACCTTACCATATATAAACAATTTGCCACTTTTCCACAATTTAAAATATTTTCTCAAAGTACTGTATTTCACTTTTCTCACATCATTTGACATTTGTTTACTCTTTTGACCTTACTGTTGCTGTGCTTCTTTCTGGGGGCTTGATTTCTCAGCAAGGATGATCATGTATTCCCTGCTCTCTGTGTCTGTCTGAGGAGGCCAAGATCGGCCTCTGCTCTCCACAAGGCTTCTAACGACTCATAAGTGCTCATGTGACTTAATAGTGTGGAGCTGTCTTAGTGAAGCTAGCAACAGGGAGCAACCATTCCAGAAAAGCATTTTTGCTTTGTTTTGCAATCAATTTCATATCTCAAGAATGGCAGATATCAACAGATTTAATTTCTATGCATTTATGCAAAATAGTTTTACACGACTTCTGATAGTGGTGGTTGATATAAAATTAAATGTTCTATCTCTATGTTTAGAACTGTAGGAAACTTCTATCCATGGGCATCACTGGACCGGAAGGACACGAGATGAGCCGCCCAGAAGAAGTTGAGGCAGAGGCAACCAACAGAGCGTGTGTTTTGGCCAATCAGGTGAGTCTCCAACTCCCCCAAAAAATGCAATTAATTAAATTTTAGTCTGTCAATGATCAGGTGTTATTTTTGTTTAAATGTAGTTGCTATACTGTTTTATAATTTTGTTACCTTTGTAATATAAAGTTACATATTGCAATACTTTACTGTAACCCTGTTGTAGTCTACGTAGATCTTCATGGTGTTAGCAGATTATTTGATCTTTGATATACCATAATAATTATAAAGTCTTCAACTATGAGTTTTACATTTGAAGTTTATTATTATATATTTTATGACCAAAAACTCTTTTTGTTGCATCCATATATAATAGCAACTGATAATTGCATAATATATCTGAGGGCAGTATTATAAAATTAACTAATTTGTTTTTATCTTGTCCAATTTATTTATCTGATATACTGTAGATTATGTATTATCTGTCTGGGATTATACATTATGTGTTGTTTTTCACTTGGATCCCTCCGTGTGTATCCATAATTACCGTGTCTAAATTTGTCAGTGTCTTTCATGTTAGTGCTTGTGCACGAGGCAGTTTACTGTAAGTTTAAATCACGAGTATTTTGTATTCATTATTCTCGCCTTTATTGTAATGATTCTTTTCATTATACAGTATTGTACTGTTATCCCTTTTATTGTGATGATTCCTTTTATTATACAGTAGTGTATGTTATGATGATTCCATTCATTATTCAGTACAGTACATAACTCCCTTTTATTGTGAGGATTCCATTAATTTCTACAACTTTAATTAATATTTCTTCTTGATTATACTTTATTGTTATTCCTATTTATCATAATTCCTTCTGTTATTCATATTTTATTATTCATTAGTTTATTATGGTTGATGTTTGCTCTCTTCTCAGTGAATGTTTGTATCGTACTATATCATGCAAATGATGCCTGCAGCTTATTCCTTCCCTTTTAATTGTACAGTGGCTTCTGGCATGCACTACTATTGTCTTCATTCTACTTTTATAAGTTGTTGTTCAGAGATTTTAATTTATTTTATGAGGCTGAATGTTAAGCTTTACACATCTAATGATATAATTGGAGATAATGAATTTTAGTTTTTTGTTTCAAATACATTATGTTACAGTACCACTAGTAAATTTGATTCTTGCATTATGATTATGTTGTTATTATTGATCTTGCCAAATCCACTGGACTCAAACTTAGATATATACTTGACCTCTTCCTTCTACACCAACTGGAATTGTTTCATCGGATGTTTGCTCTGAATTTTATACCAAACATTACGGTATTGTTTGTATTAGTTTTATATACTATATATATGAAACTATATATTATAAATAGATATAAATAAATACATAATGTGCTTTTGCACATACAGTACAGTATTTTTATATTTGAAAAACAAAAAAAGTTAACTTTTTCGTTGAATTGTTAAGTTTTTAGACATAACAGACACGAGCCTGTTAATGCACCGGCTTGAGCCTCCTGAAGACATTCTATATTTAGTACTGCAATCAAATGCAGTATAACAGTCATAACGGACCAGAATCCTTCCATTGCATTTGGCTTTCCATTTTTAATTTGAGTCCAGTGTAATATAGCAGTCTTTTTCTCTTTATTTTGTGTATACCATTGATACAGTTGACTTCTGATTTTACACAGACATACAATCAGATGGACCACACACAAATGAACTGCATACATTTTGTAACAAAACCAATAATTGTTATATAAAAAATGAAAATACTACAGGATACGCACTATACTGTGCTTTCCATGGCAATGGAAGCAGCATATAGGGCTAGGACAGACTACATAAGGCACATGTTCCCTGGTCACCTATTTTTTGACAGAGTAAAGTCACCTTGCCATACTGTTGGCAGTGATAGCATATGGATTGAGTGTGTGACTTTACTTAATATACACTGCCTCTGTGAACAGGGGCAGGTTAAGGCAGTCAAAGGTTATGAAAAGTGTGGCTATTGGGGTTGGTGTCCAATCCATGGTCTTCAAGAGTCTCTCGACCTCTACAGTCAGCTGTCTCTCAAACTTTTGTTGCAGTGCCTCCTCCGAGTATTGTAGCATCTCGTGTAAGAAAAACCATATGGCTAGTTGAGTGTGGCAGGATGGCCCCAAGATCAAGGGAAGTAAATTTGTGACTCTAGTTGTCCACCACACAAGCCTCGAGTAGAAGGTGAAGACAGATTACACTTTGGGAATATTCACTTCTGTGTCCATTCTTACCATGGAAATTAAGTACTGTATAAGCATCTACATGACTTCATGGGGTAAAAGAGAAAGCATATATATACATAACTATTGCATCAAACCATATATACACATACATAACAAAGCATCAAAGGGACCAATAAGGATGCAAGATTTCCAGTGTTCATTTTAGCTTGGACAAAATAGGCCACCAAGTCGATTCAGACAAGCCTCACTAAATCACTTGTCCCTGAACACTATCCCCTTTACCAAAGATGCATGTTTCTTTCCCTAGAGCCAGAATCCTTAGATTCAAACTTCTATGTGAAGGGAAACGAGGTGTAGATGAATTACTATGCACAAGAAACGCCTGACAGTTTGTTTTTCCCATTAATCCCCTCCCCATTGCCCCTTGCTACTTCAAGGCAATGTCATATAGCTGAAGCTTGTTATCCACATTCAAATAAGTATGAATTTGAGAGAATTCTATTGTATTTGAGAGACCTAGACATTTGATTAATAGGCAGGACCCAGAAGCTGGAGCTTGATCTCTACAAATAATAGTGAGTTTTATTTAAAGTTTTAGCCAAGAAGAAATTGAATACAGTACATGAAAGAATACAATGAAGAGTGGCACAATATATAAAAGTACCTGTGGTGTCATAACAAAGGGCCCGGGGCAGTTTGAAGTAAAATTTCCAGTGATCAGGGTATTTTGAAAGGCTGCTCGGGTGCAATTCTATTTTTTTTTATTGTGGGTGTTTCATAATATGGAAGCTTGCATCTTACTGTGAATGATGCACAGAATGGTAGTGTTTCATTGATATAGTTACTGTGTATTATAGTTATCAAAACATTCATGAAGCACACTAAATTTTTTTATATATTTAATTTTTCTCTATCATTATTTTCTGTTAAGTTACTTTTCCATGTTATGCTATTTTTTATTTACTTTTTCACTTCTTAGGTTGGATGTCCTCTGTATGTAGTGCATGTTATGTCAAAGAGTGCTGCTGATGTAGTTTCCAGTAAGCGAAAGCAGGGCCACATTGTGTTTGGCGAGCCTATTGCTGCCTCTCTGGGAACACATGGCACTCACTACTGGCACAAGTGCTGGCGGCATGCAGCTGCTCATGTGATGGGTCCCCCCCTTAGACCTGATCCAGAAACACCCAAATACCTCATGGATCTGTTGGCAAAGTATGTTTATAATTATTATTGCTCCTATTTTAGCAATGGGGGTTTCATTGTAAGATTTAGATTAATTATTTTTTATGAGAGTTTAGCTCATTCAACATCAGCTTTCGCTCCTGGAATTCAGAACCTTTCATTATATTCGGTCTGTCTGGAGTCCAGACAGCCTGAATTCGTTAACTTTGTCGATCTCTGCCTTTTATTCAGATGATCTTTCAGATATTATTTATCCTTAGTGTCTATCAGGGAAAGTTTATTTCAGGTTGTGTGTCCTCTTTATATTTGCAATGTAATGAGCAAATCAGCAGCTGCAGCAGTGGGAGAAAATCTTCGAAGAGGCACATTGGTATGGGGCGAGACTATTCTTGCTGCCTTGGGAACTGATGGTTCCCACTACTACAACCCTTGCTGGCAACATGCAGCGGGTCATGTTATGTCTCCCCCTCTGCGTAATGATCCCTCGACTCCCAACGTACTCATGGAGCTTTTGAATGCGTAAGATTGTCATTAGAAACCATGGAGTCATTTGCTAGTATTATTTTATTTGGATGCTTTTACCCACCTGCTTCACATCCACAAGCATTACAGTATTTTAGTAATATGTACAGTAACTACATTTGAAATAGCACCAATGGAGCCCGTATATTTATCCATCTTTTGTACTTTCTATTGCTTTCTCCCCTCCCCCCCCCCTTCCTCCTCTCTTCTCTCCATCTTGAGTTAAACAAAAATTACATTAATAAATTTTCTGTTAAAATCAATTAACATTTATCTAATAATTTACTATAAATTTTAGTACTGAATATGGAAACTTATACCAATTGGCATTTGTTTGTGGAAGCACTATGGTGAGGCAGAAAAAGGTTTATCCTCCCTCCCAGTTAGTTGTTTTTTGTAGCTATGTGCACAAGACTGCCACTTGCTGCAACCCTCCATCATTTGCTACTTTCAGAGAACACAAATTTTTCAATTTTGTTTTTTCTTGTGCTTCTATCTTATGTTTGTATGCTTATACTTCGATCCTCCACTTGTATATCCCTGCTGAGACTACTTTAATTGTTTGCACATAATTTAGCTTCTCAGAGTAAGCAAGTGGTGACTGCTTCACTCATGTTTTGGAATCACCTGCATCTGTAAGTCTTGGAATATGTTTCAAGTGTGCCTTTAAACATTTGAGCAAATAAATGCATTTAAAATGTCTGGAGAGAATTCTGCACGGGGCTGCCCCTCAAGGATATGTCTAAAGGGAATAAAGAATTGGAAATATAGAATAGAATGTTAAAATATAATTTAAGGATTTGTTTCCAAAGCTGTGCATGTTATGATTTATTGTAATATTAAAAGGAAAGGGAATGCATTTTGCCTCCAATGTTCATCAAGTTTTTATCCTAAAATATTGTTTATTACAGTACTGTATTATAATATTTATTGCTTGAATGATATTCATATAATACTGTGTATGTGTGTGTGTGTATATATATACTGTATCTTTTTTTATTAAATTTATTATATTTATTAGTTATTACATTATATATATAATAAAAAATATATATATACAGTATATATATAATAAAAAATATAAAAAAATTATATTATATACAGTGGAACCTCGACATACAAATTCTTTCAAATACCTGTACTTACAAATTTTTTGAGTTACGACCCCAATTTTGTCGGAAAATTTGACTCGACTTACGACCTTTGCCTCGACTTGCGACTTTGTTGATACATGTATGGGTCGATGGAGTACATGGTTCCTGGTGGCACGGGCCACCCTGCTTCAGTTTACCTGACCGCCCACTTAGACGATCACGCTTTAATTCTTTGTACAGAATTTCATTGTTTTCATTCTTTTTTGTTTTTTGAACATAAAAGTAATTATTATATATCATGCCATTGGTCCCAAGAAAGTCAGTGGTAAGGTTCAACCTAAGAAAACACATCTGAGGATGACCATAGAAGAGAAACAAGATCTTTCATAAACATGAAGATGGTGTGCGAGTTGATCTAGCTAGGCAGTACAACAAATCTATGTCAACGATATCTACCGTACTTGCTAAGAAAAAGGACATTATGAGTATTAAAGTGGCAAAAGGCATATCAATATGCCATTTACTGGGGAAAAACATAGTGAAAAAGTGTTTCCCAATATTGTAGGGGAAAAAAGTCTGTATGGAAAGGTTCTTAGTAAGAAAAACAAGCAGTGAGCCACAACCAGGTACTAGTGTTATGCAGGCAAAATGCAGGGAAGAGAGTACCACAGAGAAGTCATCACTGCCTGATGTTATAATGGAAAGGGACTCCCCTTCCAAACAGTAACACCTCTCTTCCTCCTCACCATCTTCTATATGCCAACAAGTCATCAATAAAGGTAAGCTATAACTTGTACATACTATAGTACAAAATAAGTGTGTGTATTATGTATGAAATGTATTTTGAAGTTAATATTTTTGGAAGTATGGAACAGATTAATTCAATTAACATTATTTCTTATGGGAAAATTAGTTTCGAGTTACGAAATTTCGAGTTACGACCCGTCTCTGGGAACGGATTAAATTCATAAATGGAGGTACTACTGTATTATATAATTCTTTTGCATTACTGAGTACTTAATGTAAATGTGATATGATACTTTCCTGGTTGATATACCACCTGCACCATTAGAAGTTTTAGAGACCTTTGTAAAAGTATATTTAGTTATGATGAATTAACTTGTTACTGATAGTTTTCTTTATTAAGTATCGAGTACTATTTGATTTTTGTCCAATAAGCTTCAGAAATGCAAAAATTAAATTTTAATTTCATGTTTGTAAGTGGTATCAATTTCAATATTATATTTAAATATATTCCTGAAAATTTACTGAGATATCACCAATGGTGCAGTTGTGGGGCGCACAGCCTCAGAGAAGGAAATAGACATTCAGATAAAAATCTTATAATTTGTCTCTGATTTTGTATGAATATTTGCTTCCTGAAAATATATGAAGGACTAGGCATATCCAGTTGTTGCTTGGAGATGAAAGGCAAAATCATAACTATATTAAAGTAAATTGCCCATTGTGCAAATCAGTACTGTAACTCTTTATCACCATTTTACATTAGATGTCTTGAAGAGTAAATTAAATTATATTTGTGCACATTGACACTTACCAAGTTGTCACTAGAAGCCTCTCATTAACAAATCAGACGAACTAATGAATAGGTTAACTTTGAAAATTATATAATAAAAGTGTATCTTCCTATTACTGAAAGTATTAACATGAATAGCCATCAGTTAACATAATTATAAGAAATGGTATATGGATATAGTGTGTAAGTTATATTTTTTAAGTTAAATATTTCTATATTTTGCAGTGGTGATCTTCAGACCACAGGCACAGACAACTGTACCTTCTCGGCTTCCCAGAAAGCACTTGGTAAGGATGACTTCACAAAGATCCCTAATGGTGTCAATGGTGTTGAAGACCGAATGTCAGTGATTTGGGAAAAGGGTGTGGTATCTGGGAAAATGGACCCTTGCAGATTTGTAGCAGTCACCTCAACAAATGCTGCCAAGATTTTCAATATTTATCCCAAAAAGGCAAGTACATCAGCACTAGTTATAATTGCAACAAAAATATATCTGCTATTCAATAGCTTACTGGTTTTCATAGCCAAATAATTCTCTACTAATTATTTTAAGATTTCTGTATCACACTTAAGCGATACAATCTCTACATTTATATGTGGCTTAAAAATCAAGTGTTGAATGTAACGAAACTCCACTTTGATTGTGAGACCGAAGGTAGCTTCCCAAAGCAGTGCTAGGTAAGTCATGCTTTAGAAAAATACACCAGTTCTTGGAGTACCATCCTTGCCTACCACAAGCCAGGAGAAGAATTTAGTTCACTCAACAAGGTTGTGGAAGGTCAGAAATCAGAATGCTACCCAAAACTTAGAAAAACTATCACCAGGCAAGATATGTGCAACAAAACCAGCAACTGCTTGAACAAAATTAAGGTCCCAAAAGTAATGATACAAACAATCCTTGTCCAGATGTAAACATGCCAATCTTGGTACACTTGTTCACCTCCAGGTGGTAGGCCAGATCATTAGAGGCTCCAGTTACCAAGCCCCTCTCACGAGCTGCCCAAACAGAGCCCCTCCAACCCTGGGAAAGAATGTAACTGGTAAGAATGGGGTGCTATTGAGGGCCCCTACTAGAAATGCAAATACCTGTAGTGTCCAAAAAATGCCAGTAAGTCCAAAAAACAAGAGGACAAAGAAAGGGACACTGTCTCCAGGAGCAGAGGCACCAAAGCACATGCAGAAGAACTCCTGAGACCTGGAACTTGAAGAACAAGAGGTCATAGATTTAAACTAAATTATTATTAAACGAAGCTGCCGAGGAAATATAAGAAAATTCACTTTTGCAAACAGTAGTAGATAGTTGGAACAAGTTAAGTATAAAAGTAATGAAGGTCAAAACCATCATTTTAAAGAGTTATATGACAAGTTATATAAGTCATCCGACAAGAATGACGAGACACCATAGGCATAGCTCTCATCCTGTAACTACACTTGGGTAATTAGAGAGAGACTGAGACCCTTGCAGGGGTAAGCATGTAGACCTAAAATCAGGAAGAGCACATTACTTTCCCCCTTTCTCCCAGGGCTTGATGGAGCCAACCCCATGGCACAGGAAGGTCAGAGGCCATACCCAATTCTTCAAAGGAGAGAAAAAATAAACCAAACTCAGAATTCGTAAGGGGCAACAGAAGCTCCTTTGGGAGCAACAAAAAGCCATAGCTGTATGAACCAGGAACTGAAAAGAAAATGAGACTAACTGGAAGCAACCTCCCCACAACAAAAAATAATCTGAGGTGAAAGGAGCCACACTTGGCTGAGAAGCAGCAGGACCTGCACGGCTAGTTGACAACCGGGGAACCTTTCATTGGGAAACTAATGGCGTCCACATCAGCAACAGAAGTGGCTTGGAAGGCTAGGGAAACCTGTAGCTCCGGGCTGCCCTCGACTACTTGCAGGGGGTTAATGTGAATGCAACCTGTCCTCTTAAAAAGAACGTCGCTTTTGGCCGTTTGCCCGTATGGCCAAATATGGACGTAATTTGAAAATGAAAAAAAAATTAAAATAAATTTGGGATTTTTTTTTCAACAACAGTAAGTTAAGGGTCCTCTGGTAGGTTAGGTGGGCAGGAAATTCTCATAAAGTTTCAAAACATTATGAAAAACGTTAATTTAAAGTGTCCTCTTATAACCTCTGCGCGTACGCCGGCAGACTCAAATAGAAAACGGAACAGAACGTCACTTTTGTGAGTCGATTTCATTTCAAATTACGTCCAAATTTGGCCATAGCGCGCATACGAGCGAAAAGTGACGTTATTTTTAAGAGGACGGGCTGGTGAATGAGCTTGAGCTAGTTTTCCAGAGATTCAATCATTTGTTTACATTGTTTGGAGAGTTCGTTTAGCAGTTTTGAGGTTTCAGATTTTTTTTTTTACCCAGCAGTGGTCTGTATTGGTTTGCTGACTTTCTGGATGCTTTCCTGGTAAGGTGACATTGTACCACCAACTCTGTGAGGGGGTCAAGTGTTGGCTCTCGTCCCCAGTAGGCCCAATCAGAAATCCGCGGATGATGTGACCTAGTACAGTAGTTGGAAGCCATCTCAGCAAGATAGCTTCAGGAGAACACAAGGGACTTCCCAAGAAATGGTGTCTGTTTATACAGTATACAGTACTGTAGAATAAACATTCTCAGGCATCTGCAGTTTACAGTGGCAGCAAAATTTACTTCAGTGTGACTTTATGATTATGCCTAACCAATACAGTACAGTATTATGGTTTTGCATGATCATAATACTTTTTTGTTGTTGTATATCAAGGTGGTAATTAACGTAAAAGTATGAAGTTTCTCATATTAATACTTTTTCAACTAATATACTATGATGCCTATTCCAGGGTCGCATTGCAGTAGGCTCTGATGCTGATATTGTAGTGTGGAACCCTCATGCTACAAGAATTATTTCGGCAAAGACCCATCACCAAGCTGTGGACTTCAACATTTTTGAGGTACTGATAGCCTGACTGCCATGCAGGTTTTTATTATAATCAGTGGGCTAGATGATTGTTATATAGGATATCCATTTGATGGAAACATCTTCAATACTATCACAAAAATATATATAATTACATTTATATAAAAAATATGTAAGTAGTATAGAACAAATATGCCTTGTGTAGCTCAAGACACCTTTCTGAACATTTCGTGGAGGTCACAGACTTACAGTATTTGAGAAACAGAAAAATAACTGGTTTCTTGTACAGTATAGCCAAGTCCTGGATCAGCTACTGAATCTATATGCTAGTTCAGGGAACTAGCATATGTATATTAAATGGATACTCCTTAAGTACTCTTAATTTTTAAAGAACTTTTATGCTCCTTTTGTTGATTAGAGAATAATGTGAATAATAAGTATACAAAATATATCATGATTTATTCAAGAAATTAATAAATAATTACAGTTAAAAACACTTTCAGGGAATGGAAGTTCATGGTATTGCTGATTACGTTATATGTCATGGCCGTGTTGTAGTTGAAGAAGGAGAAGTTCGTGCAGTGTCTGGCATGGGCAAGTTTGTTCCAACCCCATCTCACTGTCCCCACGTTTATGGCAGAGTACAGGAAAGAGAGAGAGCAAATGCTCCAAGCAAGGTAATAAGACATGTAATATTATTTTTCAGCTTTACATTACCTTTGTTAGACTCCATTTAGATTATGTAGTTTAGTTTTGGGCACTATAACAAGTACACAGAAGGATGACAAATTTAATCCAAGGAATTAGACATGTCCCATACAAAGAGATTAAAAAAGCATAATTTACATTCTCTTGCCACTACACTGCGCAAAGCGCCTTTAGGCGCTCTGAGAGTTGTGCTATTTTTTTTAATTATGCTATATTTTAATGTTTTTTAATGTTTTCATTACTATTTGCGTTTTGAAATGGAAATAGTTGAGTTTGGAAACATTTTGACATTAGCTTTACCTGAATATTTATAAAAACAACAAAAATATGTCCTTGACAACTGCACTAAGAATTTTTTGCCGAAACTAGGTGCACAGTGCAGGGGCTAGAGAGCATACAATAAGGGTTGGAGTAAATGTATATAAATGCATGAAAAAGAGTATAACAAAGGGAATACATTATTAATAATTGTAGATTAAAGATCAAATTACCAGATAATATAATTAGCATGTAATCAATGGATTTTTTTAAGGGTAGTTTTTTTTTTTTTTTTTTTTGAAGGAGCCACCTCATAACAGTTAATAGGTCTTCGGCAGTTTTATTTATTCTTACACAGACGACGAGTCACAATAATGTGGTTAAAGATATGATGACCAAACCACTCGTCAGAAGATAAAGAAACGATGTTTCTTCATCTTTCGGTGTGTAGTTTGGTCATTATTTAGTCTTGTGCTGTATTTTGAACAAAAAATTTAGTTCAAATATTATTTATAAATTTGTAGTGCTCAAAATTTGTAACTAACTTAAATCCCTGCAGGTTGAACGTGCACCATATGATGGCCCTATTGCGCAGCTAAATGGAGATGGGCGCATGTCAATTCAGGAGGGTGGTATCATGGCAGTCAATCAGGAGACTTTCTATACTCGAGGTCCGACCAGAAGTGGGGGAGTCAACCTCCATGATTCAAGCTTCCACGTGTCGGGTTAGCTTGCAGGTTCAACTAACATAAGAACACATTTACAAATCTGATGCTAAACAAGCTTGAGAGTAAATACAACTCCCAACAGAAAATATTTTTTTTTACTAAGCAATAATTAAAAACCTGTATTGAATACAAAATTTAATGAAAGAACACACTCATAACACTTGTTTTTTCCTGAGAGCACCAGATTTTTAAATTGTTCACATCATCCTTTCTTGCTATTTAGATTTCTGGGTAATAGAAGTCTTATGACTATCTTGTCACTAAACTAAATTCATCAGTTACCGGTAATGAGTTTTCCTCTAAGTGAAGACTTGGTAGTTGTTGCAGAACTAACATAAGACATGCTGGAAAAAATATATATTATATTTTTTTGCTTTAAAATACATAGTCAAATTGGATATAAGCATTATCTTGCATGTATTGATTACAGCATCAGTGATAGTTCTACACAAACAAAATACTACTGAACAATAAAACTGAAAGCTTGAATCGTGAGGCAATAAGAGTGGTATTTGTAGAGAATTAGCCCCAGTTGGTTTTGTGGAATGCTATAGTTTAAATCATTTGGCTGTGGTCCTTAGCATCAGTTGCCTGAATTATTCATGGGATATGCTCCTTTGCTTGTCATTCAGCCATACAACAATTTCACAACCTCTCCAGCTCGGTTCACTGGGCATGAGCAGCTATTTCACTTTTCTCTCGGTACTCCTCGTTTTTAATACGGTACATCATTATCCTCTAACATTAAATATAAATAAATTTCAAAACTACTTTCAAGATGTTTATATTAAATACTGTATACACCATATAACATTTTATCCAGGTTGTGTACCCCCACACACACAATCTTGAAAACGCTGCATTCTATAGCATGTGAAGTGTTGCCGTTTAATTGAGATTAAATGTGTCTTTCACAAAAATAGGAAAGAGATGATCTCGTGTAGCAAAAGTGAACACTACAAGGAGGAATGATACAAAAGCATGTAAATAATGATAGAATTTGCTCTAAGCATTATATACAATGATACTACACCAAGAAAATTTTTGTTATCTTGTATTCAAGTGGTGTTTGGCTACAGTCATTGATTTCAGATACTATTGTCCACAATTAAACTTGAAATTTTCAGTACAATTATTATAGTATTTTCTCTACATCAATTTCAAAATGTAGTATATTTATTAGATGAATAGCAGGTCCCCAAAAGAACATGACAGATATGTAATCATAAATGCCTACAGTCAACCAGTAAGCAGCACATGAACAAAAGAGCTAGAGGACCTCATAATGGCCATGATAGGGAGATTATAGTAAGAGCAGATATAGATAGATAACAATTGTTGGTACTTGGTGATTTGAACTTGAAATCCGTATTCTGGGAGGCCTACAAGGCAAGAACGGAGGACTTTTGGATTCGCAGGTTCGTAAACTTCATCTTGGAGAAAATCATGTATCAACACATTAAGCAAGCTACGAGAATGTGGGATGTGGATGCTCAATCTGATATTCACCAGGAAAGAAAACTCAGCATTCAGTACCTCCCCCCTTGGGTAAGAGTGACCATGTCTTTTTTGGAAATAAAATATGGAATGTCCTGTAATCTAGAAGAGAATGACAAAAATGAAGCAGTTGAAAAACTTGATTTCAGGAGAGGACACTATGGGACACTTAAAGAGTTTGTAAATGATTTTGATTGGAAAGACTTGTTGTTAGGCAAAAAGGTAAATGAGATGTATGCAAAGTTTTATGAAATATATAATGAAGGCACAAAATATATATATACCAACACAGATATGCAGAACTAGAAAACAGGACTGTTTCAACAGAAATTGAGAGGGCAAGAGACCAAAAGCGAAAAAGTGGACTCAATTTAAGAAGAGGACAAACCCTCAAACATGCCAGCAGTACAACTTGCTGGTTGTGCTGCTGGGTGTGGGTGAGGGAATGTACCATTCTCTCTGGGGTTGTATGTTAGGGAGAGAGGATGACGTGTGGGGATGTGCGACTGTGTTAGGGACAAGTGTTGGTGGGTGGTGAGGAAGTTACAGTATATCATTTTCATTGAGAACACATTTCAGAGGCCTGACAATTACTTTAAATATTATTAGCATTTAACAACTTTGAATCGAGCAATCATTCTAAATTAGGGAGTAGGGTATAGCCCCATACAAGTCATTAAAGTAAATGGATACTGGAGTTGTCTCCGTGGCGTAGTGGTAAGACGCTCGCCTGGCGTCCGCGAGCGCTTTGGCCTGGGTTCGTATCCTGGCCAGGGAGGATTTACTGGGTGCAAATCCTTAACTGTAGCCTCTGTTTAACCCAACAGTAAAATGGGTACCTGGTTGTTAAATGATTCTTCATGGGGGTCGTATTCCGAGGAACATAGGATTAAGGACTTGCCCAAAACGCTACATGTACTAGTGGCTGTACAAGAATGTAACAACTCTTGTATATATAAATAAAATAATAATAATTGTGAAGAGTATATGTACCAGAGAGCTACCACCTCTGTTAGCTTCAATAGGGATGGGCAATTCGTAAGTAAATTAATTCATTATGTCAGGGGACAGGCAGCCAGCTTATACATACTGTACACGTTAGGCTTATAGACACGGTCCCCCCCACCCCACGGGTCTAATTACTGACCCTCCCCAGAATGCAACCCCACTTGCTGCTAACCCTGGGTACCTATTTACTGCTTGATGGACAGGGATAGGAAATGCACCAAACCATTTCTGTCCCACCTGGGATTCGAACCTGTAAATCTCGATTCTGAGTCCAGAATGAACCAGACTGTGTTACCAGGATCCTCAATTAATTTGAGAATACCTAGAGATGACCATGATGGGCAGGCATGGTGTGTGAAGAAATGAGTAAACAGTGTTAAATGACAGCAGTTTATGAAGCGGGGAGTTTTTTATTAATTTAAGGCAACTCAAAAGGATGACTGTTCATCTTGCCTTGAAAGGCAGTGAGGTGCTGCTTTGGACAATTTGCTGGAATGCAATGGTGCTTGGGTTACTTAGGTAGGATATATAGTGTGTTAGCACTGTATATGGTAAATGGAGTAATGTGATTTTTGTATAATTTTTCTCTAGACTGTATTGTACTGTTCCCCCTTAATTTTATAATGCCTTCCCACATTACAAAAGTGGTTAACAGGGTAATAATGATGTAAAGAAATTGTGCAAAAGGACTAGTGCATTTCTGCTTTCATTTTCCTCAGTGATTTAGTTTTCATTATTAATAGAGCTACAGATCATTACTCTAAAAATATATACATGAAATATATTACATTTGTATAAGCTTAGTGTATGACCAAGTAAAATATAAAGGATCTCAGGGTAAATAATCTTTCATTAGAATAGACTCTTTAACATTCATGATCTGAAGCCACCAACTGGTATTGTAGGTCGTCAGAGAGATGATGGTGTTAAGCCTCGGACCAGCATCAGGCTAGTGTCTCCCCAGAGTGGCACAGCTCTTCAGGGTATCTTCTGGTGACTCGGCTACTTATACCAATTTTAGAAGCAAAGCACAGAAATGCAAGAGTTGGCTGTTTCACAAAAAACTGTAGTAGTGGGGGATTTAGGATTTCATAATGATATTTATAGATATTAAGTAAAATCAATGCTTTTACAGCACTGGTGACAACACAAGGACAGTCACAAAGACAGTGTTATAAACAATAATTTTACACAAGTTCAGTTTGCACTGGCAATTAATTAATGGCTTTCATTAAACTTTTCACATTTAACATTGCATTGATTTTTAATTACATCAAAGTTAACCCGCACTATTCTGTAACTAATTTTCTATTTCTGATCATGCTTCTAAATAAAGGCAAATGCTTATTTAGGAAATTAACCATTAATCACACTTAAAAATGACAGGTTGCAACTCTAAGGTTCCTTTACATCACACTTTACCATTTTGGTGAATTTAATTTTAGTGAAATGCATGTTTGATCAATGAACATTACCTTTTCCTGAAGGGTGTATTGTATGAGGTAGTTATGGCTGTATTCTTGCTTAACACTGCTTGATCTATGCTGTTGTGCTAACTCATTGGTGTGCTTAAACTTGGAATAACACATATACCTAATGTAGAATTTATATAGATTTTGTTCTAGATATGGTTTAAAATAGTATTGGGCTTGGATACAAAAATTAATGCTCTTTGAAATAAAACGCTTTTACTAATGGAATATAAGCACTAAAGTTAATATTTAGAAATTGCCATAACTAATGATAGTTGCACATATTAATACAATGCCTTAATGTGAGCAATGCACATAACATTTTAAAACTAATGCACAACTTTAATATCAGGAAGTTACATAAATTTATTACCTCCAGATCAAGTAACTACATAAATTACTTTGACAGGTGCACAAGTTAATGACAAGTCTCCCAAGCGACCATCAGTGAAGGTAAACAACCCGCCCGGTGGCAAGACTTCTGGCAGTTTCTGGTAATCACACAGGCGGTGGTGGAGGAAGCTAGTGGCATTTGTGCTTTGATTACTGCAAAATAATTTCTTCAGATTTTTCAGTGCTGTATTTAAGTTGTACTGCATATTCAAATTACCGGAAAAATGTTGTATAGAAGGATTTGCATAAATTGACATTACATTTGTATGTATCCAAATGTATCATAGAGTAATTTAAAATCGGTGACATTAATATTTTTAAGATGTTTATTATTGAAAGTTTACCTGTTGTAGCTGTGAAGTATTAACTAATAAAGATAAATTACTTTATTATAAAATGCAAGCGAGTAAAATTTGTTTTTAATGTGCATTTTAAATGACGTGGTATGGTTTTATAAGAATTTACTCAAAATATCAAAGATACAAGGCAGCCTCAGGAATCAGCTGCAAGATGAGAATATGTAGTTCAAGGTAACTAGATGTTATGAACTTGTATTATCTTGCCTGTATTAGAATATTGTCACTGCCCGTTTGTTTTATTTAATATATATATAATACTGGTATATATTATATATAAAATCCATCACAAATCTTGTAAAGAAGTCAGAATATGGGCAGTTGATATTTGTTGCCTTACTAGAAGAAACTAATATGGAGCATGTTTTCTAAGACAGAAATGCGTATCTTGCCTACTAAGGAAACTTTTCAACCATCTTCATTTGTAGTTTTCATATCATAACTTGGCAAAAACATCTGAGTATTAAATCTTCCCAGATTGTAACTACCTGCAATATAATTATCTTGACATGTGAAGTTCATCATTAATTTCTGAATTTAGCACCTAGTACTTTTCAAGATTAAATAATTTATTATTGACAAATTATTTATACACAAGTCTGACATTGGATTCATTATCATTGCACTGTATTTTGTAAGGTATCTAGTTGATCAAAGTTTCATTGCACAAATATGTCTCTTGATTTGTCACAACTTACTTATTTCAAGCTGTCAATTTTATTCATAAATATTTATACAATTATGTCTGTATGGCCATCCAGTGGCATCTATGGCATTGGACAATAAATTCATCAACATATTTATGTCTTCAACCTTACAACCTTGCTATAGCCATTTTTACCAGATAAATCTGCACGTGACCAAAGTAGACGTGCACCAGTACCAATATTTTGACTGGTACTAATACTGTACCTACCCATGTAAAAATATAAACGGTACTCTGTGTGTAATTACCTAAGTGTAGTTACAGGATGAAAGCTACGCTCGTGGTGTCCCGTCTTCCCAACACTCTTTGTCATATAACGCTTTGAAACTACTGACAGGTTGGCCTCCACCACCTTCTCACCTAACTTGTTTCAACCATCTACCACTCTGTTTACGAAAGTAAATTTTCTTATATTTCTTCGGCATCTGTATTTAGCTAGTTTAGATCTATGACCTCTTGTTCTTGAAGTTCCAGGTCTCAGGAAATCTTCCCTATCGATTTTATCAATTCCAGTTACTATTTTGTACATAGTGATCATATCACCTCTTTTTCTTCTGTCTTCTAGTTTTGGCATATTTAATGCCTCTAACCTCTCCTCATAGCTCTTGCCCTTCAGTTCTAGGAGCCACTTAGTAGCATGTCTTTGCACCTTTTCCAGTTTGTTGATGTGCTTCTTAAGATATGGGCACCACACAACCATTGCATATTTTAGCTTTGGCCTAACAAAAGTCGTGAACAATTTCTTTAGTATATCGCCATCCATGTATTTAAAAGCAATTCTGAAGTTAGAAAGCGTGGCATAGGCTCCTCGCACAATGTTTTTTATGTGGTCCTCAGGCGATAGTTTTCTATCTAGAACCACCCCTAGATCTCTTTCTTTATCAGAATTCTTTAAAGATTTCTCACATAATATATAGGTTGCGTGGGGTCTATGGTCTCCTATTCCACATTCCATAACATGGCATTTATTAACATTAAATTCCATTTGCCAAGTGGTGCTCCATGTACTTATTTTGGAATGCCTCCAATCTCAAAGCCTTGCAGAAGAGTCAAGGACCCTTGTACACTCTCCACATGAACTGGCCTCTATGGGAAGAAAATCAAAACCCACTAATGAAGAAGCCTAGTCAGGCCAGGGGCAACATTTATGAGTGCTTAGTAAAGAACACCCTTAAGCACATGCAGCTTGTGATAAAATTTCCAAAGTCTACACAACTGAGGCTTGTAAAAAAAACACACACACATACACGTGAAACAAATAAACAAATATTGAAATGATACACAGCAAATGACCACTCCCCCCCTCCTCCTCAGGGTGGTGTCTAAGGGATGATCAACATTTATCAAATATTTGGAACCCAAAGAGCTGGTAACTCGAGGAACATGTCAGACTTGTCTGATATATGACAAAGTAGCGGGGTATCACCTAACTGCTAGTTGGCTTGTTTGCAAAATTGTTAGCTGCATTGTTTGTTAACTTTCTGTGAACCTTGAAGTTGCCTGTTTGGTTTGGTTTCTTTCCTGGGGGCTTGTTTCTTCAATGAGGATAATCATGAATCCCCTGCTCCCTGTGTATGACGGGGCCAGGTTTTAGTCTCTGGTCTCTAGTAGGCTATTAAGGGTTACTGTGACTTATACGTGTGGAGCTAGTTTTGTGGCTAGCAACAGGGCGCCACTGTTCCGCCCCAACAGAAAAGCTTGGTTTATGTGGCCATGGAAAGTTAAGGGAATAACAGGTAAAGTATGGAGGTAGATTTTTTATTTTTTAATAAAATTTGTAATTTATGACCAAATGTTTAATGGTGCTAAAGGCACCTGAGTGGTTGTATTTATAATGGGTTTATCACAAAAACAATTATAAACTTAGCATGTAAGTTTGGAAATAAATATTTATACATGGGGTGCTTATGTTACAATCTAAATTGTAACATAAGTATCATCAAAGCTAATTGGACACACTATGATGCTTCAATTGATTGATCATGTGGTTCACAAATCCTGTCTTAACCCTTTCTTTGACAACTAATCACTAACATGGCTTTCCTGACAGCTGGTTGAAAAGAAAACACAGGAGTTCCAAACTGGAATACAGTCAATACAACATGCACACATATGTAAATATGTCATGTGTGTAAGATACACATTCACAGGTGAAACAATTGTGATACCACCCAGATGATCACTTGTTCACTTATCGGGTCTGTCTTTAACTTAACTGTCATCAGTCTCCTGAGACTGATGGTTGTCTACTACTTTAACTCAAACTTACAACTGTTGTGCGTGTGTTGCAAGATGAATTACTCTGGCTGATCACAGAGATCTCTATGCAGATAGACAAAAGACAATGAAACAAGTTTAGTACTTACAGTATGCTGGCCTCTCACTTATACCAGTGAATCATAAACACAGCTTGTGGAAGGTCTGAATGGCTGATCTTCACAACCGTCAGTCTTGTAGTACGATGTGGATACACTGGAGTCTGGTACATGCTGGCTCTCTACATGAGTGCATGTGGTGTGTAGATCACACAAGTGGCAGCAAGCAAGTTGACATGCTTAAGGGACCTCAGTGAGTGACATGTGAGGTGTATGGGTTGGTGGGTGCATCAAGTGGAATGGCAGGTGGGCAGCAGGTGTGTGTGGCTGGACTTGGTCACAGGTGTGTGGTTAAAATGTGGTGGCTGGCAGCAACTATACAGTACAGAGATTTGAGCAAGGAAACAGAGAATGGAGGCTACAGTCTTGGCTTTTCGTCCTAACTTGCATTTAAGGCACTTCATCACATAAATCCTCTTTGGCAGTACTTTGGGGTTCATACACAAAGTTTGCTGAACACTTTTCTGCATCTCAACTATAATCACAGTAGTACACTTTCTCGCAGTCCTTCTGCTTCTGATTGTACCTCGTAGTATCTTTTTTTAGTCACTTCACGTAATTTAAATAAATACATGCAACATGGGAATCCAGCTGTTTGCAAGATATTTACAACAAATAGGTATGTTGCAGTTAATATGATGGCCTAAGGACTATGACGATGTGTTTTCTAATTAGTAGCCACTAACAGAAAGACCAGACGTCTTAATATTTCTGGTGTTTTTGGCTGGAATAGCTGGCATGGTATGGCAATCACACTCTATTCAACTCCAGTCTTTGTCTCTAGGATTGGCCAATCAGTGACCGGGTACTCTGCAGGTGTCTGATCATAGTGGGTTGCTATAGGCCCATCCGAGGTGACATGGGTTGTGACATCACGGCTATACCATCAATCCAGGATTGACTATTTGAGGATGACCTGACCTACTCGTCTTTCTCCATTGCCTGAAGAAGAATGTTCCCTCCTGTAGTTTCCATGATGCCTGACACTGGCTTGCAGCAATGGAAATGCTATGCTCACTATCTCCTCGTTGAGTAAAGACACAACAGCCCTTGTGGCCTCATTATGGTGCGAGCATTGTGGGCTCTCAAGAGATACCAAACAAGCTAGGCTTTAGTCCAGTATTAAGGGAGAAACACTATGTGCACCCACTATGTGCACTGTGAGGTGCTCGAGGGTAGCTTTCTGAACTTTGTGTACTTGCAGTTATTTGCTTTACAATGTGCCATTTGACGCAAGCTGTGGGAACTGAGACCATTCCCTCACACGGCTAAGGACAACATGTTATTAACATACCTTGAGGAAAAGCTTAAAAAAATAAGTAGATTTGTGAAAATTCTGTATTTTTCTCTGCAAATTCTGGCGGAGAAAAAATAGACAAAACAAAATATAACATATTGTACTCACTCAAAGAAGTGTTGTTTGTCTGCTCAATAAGTTGATAGTAGGTTATGTGAAGAGATGATATAATTTAGTGTTGAGTAGAGAAAAAAACCGAGGCAGTGGAGTTCTCCAGAGATACTTAGGAAGGCACTACAGCCGATGGTGAAGTGGCAAGCTCACCAATAATTGACATTTGTGCATGCCAGCAGCACACTTAATATTTCTTTATCGAGCTTGTGGCTAACAGTAGTCACTTTGCCACCACAAATCATAGAGTATGTTAGTAACCTTTTCCAGTACAGACCTATTTCATCCTTATAAATTAGTTCTAGTGGTTAATCCTTTTTTTCCACAAGGCACTTGAATAGCACTGGAATTCCATAAACTCCTGAATATAAGCAGCTGTGTTACTGTATAGGCAGACTGCTGTCCCTCAACTAATCTGATTTGTTTAATATCATGTTCAACACTCTTAAGTCACCCCTCTGATTATACACACTTCTCAGTAATATTAGTGTCGACTTAGAATTTCTTCTTGGGCTTATCATCCAACTCACTTTCTCTAACTTCTTAACTCTCATTTTTTTTTTCCTTGAAGTACCATCATCTCCTAAGCATTCAGTTGTATCTTACATATTGATATATTTCCAAATAATTCTCCATACACTTACCTTTGCATGACTGCATGCAAGCCCTCCTCCCCCACACAGTTTCAGTAATACCTAACCTGGACATATCTAAGTCTGCAGTCATTACTATTACAGGCACACTGCAGTATGTTTATTCACCCATTTCCAGTTTGCCATTCAAACCGTCTATAACAATGATCTGAGCTTCTTAGTATCATGCCAATCTCTCTCTTTCTCTCTCTAAACTGCTCCAAGAATACATCTTTCATTCTTTTTTCTGTTACTACACTAAGTACATTACAGCATGTTGCATTCACTGCTGCTACCTTAAATCTGTCAAATTTTAATTTTTACCATACCACCAAGCTGTACTATAAGAAGTCATTTGGTGCACACCACTCTTCATGCAATCCTGCTCTTAAATTCTTACTCCATCCCACACTTCATTCTTATTTCCTCCAAGCTTTGTCTCGTACAGAAAGCACATCAAACATTCTCCCCACTGAACCCTTCACCACTTCCATACTCCTTTGTTCTTTAACTCCCCCCAGCCTTCTACCCCGTCACATGAACCCCAGACCCAGTTTATTTATTACAGAGTAAATTAAATGAATGATCCATGGAAAAGGCAAAGTTATAAACATTTCTTAATACATATATACATTTACTGAATATATACATATATATACACATGTATCTAAATTAAATTAATAGTCTCAGATACTAAACATTTTCTTAATTTAAAGAATAAAATTATAACATATAATATTTTTCACAAATAAATAATATTTGAAATATCCACCTTCACTGCATTTGAAAGGATCACAGATTTTGAAGTCTTTTCATTTAATCAGATCCTGTACACTGTAATTACACTCACAAACACCTAAATTCACTGAGTATTTTCAATAAGAGGAAACAGATTCATAGTAATAATAACTAACTGCACATCTATGCTAGAATCAGCAAATACAATGGATATAAATTTTTGCCAAAATATATTTTAGTTTGAAAAACATGAAATAAATATTTCCATTATTAACAAACTTGAAAATATAACTATTAATAATAAATATAACTGACATTTCATACCATTTTAATTCCTTTGTCTATCTTGAAACCCCCCACACTGTTCACTTGAGTTAGATTCATACGTCCAAAGAATATTTGGTATTGTTATCAAATACATTATTTTAATGCCAACACTTAGATCTAGAGATTTAGCTCACCCACAGATGGAAGACTAGTACAGTAAACTAAACTGAACATATATCTATGACTTAGAAATGTAAAACAAATAATCTAAGTGATATTTTGTACTAATAAATTGCGACATAAAACTTTACCCCATTCTATCAGTGTCAGATCTTCGGTACCTTACCTTTTGTGAAAACTGCTAATGTTCTGATGCTTACTTGTCTGAAACAATATATTTAACACCATTACTTAAACATGCTTAATTAATCTCCTAACATAAATGTAACAATAAGACTTCAGTCACAATGTAGTCGACAGTAATAATATTTCTCAGTTGTTCTAGGATCAACTTTGAGTATTTTCTTACCTGGCTATGTGAACTGGGAGAGCTGGTGGAAACAAGACTAAAAGATGGTATGGAGACGACTGCAATACATATACTTTGTAGTTGTCTGTGGATACGTATGCCTCAACAGGAGTATGATCTGGATGCAACTGTATGTGAATTGTTGTTACATTCATTAGCAATGGTGTTCTTTGGCACAAGAATCTTTGCTTAGGATTATTATAAAATTTGAATGATATAAAAAGACGATTTTTTAATCTCATATTACAGTATCATCACTACTTCATTTCCTACTTTCATAGAGTGGGAAGGCAACAACCAGGAGGGAAATAGGAAATTTATACAGTGCTACCTTCATTTATGATCATAATCCGTTTCCAGAGACGCGTCGTCAACCAAAAATTTGTCAACCAAAACGAATTTTCCCATAAGAAATAATGTAAATTGAATTAATCCATTCCACACCCCCAAAAATATTAACTTGAAAAATACATTTTATATCAAATAATGCTCATTTTATACTAGCCATAATACAGTATGTATATCTTACCTTGAATGAGGACTCTTATTGACATCTTATTTATCACCTAAAACAAGTATTAAATAAACATTTCCTCTTTTTAACTGATCCCACCTACACTTATTCTGTACCAACTTAAAATGGAAATGAATCAAAGAATGGGATAGATATGTACCAGGAGACACTGATTGTAAATAGATTATTTCACTCACTGGGATTTCCCACAACTAAGCTTTAAGCTTTATGTTTCAAAAGCAACCAGACCTATACCTGTTTTAACACAATATCAAACTCAAAATGAAAATGAACCACAGAATTTTATTTTAAATCTGCTTAGTGGGTATTCCACAGCACCAACTGCTAATTCTACTGTGCTCATTAAAAAAAAAATTAATGCAACCTTAGCAATATTAAAGAAATTATAATTCATACCCTAATTTTTGCCATGGTCTATAGTCAAATTTTACTAAGGAAAACATTAATTTCAACCTGTCTTATGACATATCTACCGGGAGCAGCAAACTAAAGACTTGATAATGGTCATCGGTAAGACTTAATAAGACTTGATAAACGTCATTGTCTTCTCATGTTCTGGTGCGAGGTTTAGTCAGCAAACTAAAGAGATTTCACTGCTCCTCATAATTTCTAATGCTCCAACCCCTAAATGAACCAGGCCTATCGACTTCCACACCCAAAACTTTTTCTTTATTTAGCTCAAAAGTTTCTATGACATATCATGGGAACCGATTCCAACTAATAATTAGGGAGATGTGGTTTCAGAAACATTTTTAAAACATTTCTGGCACTTCATTTGATCTTAATGAATGATAAAAATGCACAAGAATGGCAACAATTTTTTTTTTTAATTTGTCTGTTGGAAATTACTTTACTTAACAATCCAGATTTAACTTTGACCCCACTCAAAATCTGGACATTTTCAGACAAACATGAATTTTGGAAGAGTGCCAGTGGGCAGAGTTACAACTTTGTTGCAAGGGATCTGTTATAAGGTGGTCTGGATTTTGGAAGGTACACTGCACATTTAATTTTTACAGTTTTTGACTGGTCAGCCTGGGGAAGCTCTGTAGGTAGTCTCAATAAGGCCAACAGGCTTCCTATCCCCATCTAAGTGAAACCACAAGGTGAACCATAACATGCAGAAATTATGTAAATAAAATCTTAAGAAAGTGGTGCAGGGTGTGAGAAAGGGAAGCATTTTGGGCAGTTTTTTGGATTACTACATATGGTTAAATTTTCTTGGTTGCATCTACTGCATCAAAATTCCTGTTCTGAAGGCCAAATCTTACAGGATTTAGAAACTATTTCTAGGCAACTAGACAAAGGTAGAAAATTCCACCCCATGGACCAAATGCTTTTTGATCAAAGTCAAACACTGCAGTAAAATGGTTAAGGGAACTCAATCTCTGAACCCTAAAGGAGAGGAGGAACAGAGGGGACACAATCATTATGAAAAGAAACTAAGGGGAATTCACAGGGTGGATAAGGAAAATTTCTAAATTAAGAGAATACCAGATAAGACATTGGTGGAAGTTGAAAATACAATCAAGTTCTATATATACAAGGAAATACAGGTACCCTGCACAGGTGGTCAGCAAGTGAAATGCACTAAAAGAAGAGGTGTAAATCACTGCCATCCATAACATTAAGAACAGATACAACACAAAATTTGAATAACAAGATATATAAAATGCATACATGACAAAATTTCTGCGAGGTTCGGCACAAGGAGCTAGATCAGATTTCCTTGTGATCAATGACATAAATACTCTGACACAGCAGTATGTAAATATTGCAGGTAAATTGTGTAAATATTGCAGGTAGTGCAGGTAAGTGCAGGTAAATATTGCAAATTGTGCAGGTAACCTGCACAAATTCCAATCAACAAGAAATAAAACATAGCTTATATTGAAAAGGTAAACATTTTGTCAGAACTGTTATTTGTTTTAGAAACTTGAAAAACAATGCCACATAGACTCTTATTTTAGTCTTATGGAAGCTACTAAAAGACATAATTACCCTTGAAGGAAAATCATCTGGAGGCATGGCCGGAGGCTGAAGTAATGGTCCAACAACAGTTCGATACACAGAACGTAATGCAGCAACTTTCCTGTTAACACTTAAACATCTAGATCTTGACTCTTCACTAAGATGTACACAGCTCACACATTTCTTTTGGTCATAATTGACTAGTATGAGTCTGCAAAATGAAATTTAGAAACAACTGAAGTGTCAAGTGTCAAGAGATAATTTTTTGTAAATTCAAGTAACCAATACCAAAATTAAATATCTGAAGAGATCTTTATTACGACTAGGGCCCCCAAGGTGTTAGCAGTGACCTGAAAGACTATATACCTGACTAGGAAAAGAACTGAATGACCAATCTTATAGGAGAATTTCATTCTACTCAATACCCAATTTTGTAGGGACAATTTTTATAGGAAGCATACAATTTCTGAATGAAAATTAATACTATATAGCTAACAAAAATCTCAGAAATTACAAACAGCAAATGTATAATTAATCTTTAAAAACATTGGAGTAATAAACCAACTACAGTATTGAAAAATTACCCAATGATGGCATTATCAAGCTGGGATAGAAGGCTGGGTGAAATGTTCCATGGCAATAATGAGGTGAGGGCCTCCAAGACTTGATATGAAGGGGCCCAGAATGAGGAGGCAGCACGCATCATCTCCGACAACGTGGGTGTTGGACCACAGAGAGTTACCACTGATATATGACCTGTTAGTTGTACCACAAGCATCCTGAAAGGTACCTGAAAAATGTACTATATCAGAGGCATTAACTTTAACCATCATTTCTTTTTAATTCAATTTATTTATGTGTACCAAAACTTGACTATTGTAAGAATTAAAATGTTAAGGAGAAAATTACAGTGAAATGTTATAGCAAGCATCTAACGTCTGCATAAAAATAGTTTATTAGAATGCAATGAATGACAGAGGCAACTGAGCACAATATGGAACAAATCATTTCTTGTAAAGCTTAGTCACTAAAAGTCATTTAACTTAACAAAACAATCAGCTTAAAAGTGTTCCGAGTTACCCAAGAAATTTTTGTTCTATTAGATGGGAATTTTTTATTATGAAAATTTAAATACACACATATAGTACCTTAATCATAAAATAAAATAAACATAATATTTGAAATAAACTCTGGTTAACATTCCATTGGCAGTGCTGCTAATGGTCCGTTCTTGTCATCTTATATATTGGCCAATGTATCATTTATGTTGGTAAAAGGGTGCATGATCAGTCAAGTGACTGGCCCTTGGAATTAAGACCAGGGTAATAAACTTAATATCTGAATCAAACCTGAACCTAAGCTCTACAAAAGGCTGGGTGATTCAAATTCTTATCAAATAAGTAAAATTAAACTAACCCAAGATTTTGTGTGAGAGTCAAATTAAAAAAATATATCTATGCAGTCCACTGATCAACCACAAACAACAACAAAAATTTTCCCACAGCATGTATGCACGATCTTCAAATGTTTTCAACTCTATAGAAGTCTTCTCGTCAGCAATGACTTGTGCCGAGAATCGGGCGAGAGGATTCTGGAGGTCCACCCACATATCCAAACTAAACAAGCATACAAAGCAGTCACATAAAAAGAAGTAAATTGTCCACAAAGGGTTAAGATTATTCGTCAGGATTTTATTACTTTTCCTATAAAGTAGGTGAAATTTATGCTGCATAAGCAGTTTTGCCATTATTTGTTGACTTTAATAACTGCTCTCACTAACAGCACACTTTCAATACAATGTCAACCTGTAAAACAAAAGAGCTTTGTCGCGTGTTTGTTCTAGGTAAAATAAAGTACTTGACAAGTCTGACAGAAATAATAACAACTCACATTAGGACTTTTATTTGGGAGGTAGATGGGCAAGTCACGTGCAACAGTGGATGCATTTGAGGCAACCAGAAGAGGTAAGAGAACCAACTCAGCATGAGACAATGACCAGAAGTTGCGAGTACCACACAACACATGTCCCTGCATTATCACACACCCATATGTGGAGTCTGCTCCCTCAGCAAATTTTTCAAGTTCACTCTGTAGGACAAAGATAGAAAAACTGAATTAATAGTTCAACCTTTACAAATTTTCATATATAATGAAGTGCTGCTGCATGCCAAGTGTTCACACATGCTACATTCTTGTTTTACAAACTTTTTGAGTTAAACACTTAAAATATATAAGTGTCATTGCACAAAGGACCACTTGGAAAGGGGCCTTTCATTATAATCAACACAATTTTTTTTTTTTTTAGGAAATGTGCCCATATAACCATTTACAAATCTACATAAATGCAGGAGTTAAGTTGAGATTTAAAAAAGTTCACGAAATGTTAGGCATTTTAAAAATATACTTCTGCACTATCACAGTGATGAAAATCTTTACATAGAAGACCTCCATTTTCACCATACACAAATGTTTAATGTCAATCTGGAAAGATGTATACAAATACAAGCATTCTGTACTGTAAAATGGAAACAAATGTGCTGGACAAAACAATAAGATATGCTACCTATGGTTTGCATTAACAAAAGACTGTCATTATAAAAATGTGGCATATCAATCTTAATTTACAATTTCATATAAGCATCTTACCTGCAAATTATGTTGCTCTGAAGGTATAAGGCACTCTGCACAGCCCGTCAAGTGGGAAAAACCATGTTGGTCCTCGCAGCCCATTGCTCGTGACAGCAACTCATCCAGCAATGCATAGCATGGCTAAAACATGAAGAACATCACATTCTTACACTATTTACTCATAGAAAAATAAACTTGCACTTATATATCCATTGCAAACAATTACATTCTAGCACGTATCACGGAACATCTATTTGCATGTCCTACTTGTATTTAGGTTTCTCCGCGTAGTCCCTTTTGACTTTTCTAAATATACCGTACTACAAATCTTTCAATATTTTTCCATAGCTATTTACAAAGATTCGTTCATTTCAAAATTGTTTCATTATAAAATCATAAACAGTACATGTAATGCAATACCTTTCCCAATCCAAAATATTCATAGCAGAAACTCCAATGTAACATAAGCAGGCTAACTTAACATTTGCAAGCATTAATTACTCTTTCCAAAAGTCCTGCTCCATGAACTCATGATTTTTATTTTTGGTAAGTATCAGAAATAATATCTAGGAAGGAAACTGGTTAATTTATCTACTGAAAGTATTCCTAATAAAGGAAAGTCTTCACTCCCAGCAGAAATCATACCAAGACACTATTTAATGATCTCTATTTTGACCTATCATAATATTCTTTACCTTTCTACCATTCTCAGTTTCACAACAGCTACCAAATTTTTTTGCCATGTTAGTTTTTTATACAATACTATATACATAGAGAACTTGAGAGTATGAAGACAATCATTAACTAAAATATTTGGCATTTTTGTATGGATTCTTCTATTTTCAGTTTGAGTTAAAAATATACAGTGTATACCAAAATATATGTTTTTTCAGGATTATTTTTTTTAATTAACTTACCCTGATGTCTCTCTTTAGTCTTTCAACATTTGTTGCTGAAGTCAGTGTGTCCAATCCAAGGAGAAGAACTAGGGAAGCAAACATCAAGTCTAATAGGGAGCCATCACAACTGTCTCCAATGGTCTCGCTTCCTCGAATTAAAACTAGTCGTATGCTGAAGAAAATAACTAAGTTACTGGTAGCTGTTAAAATATTCAGTATACTACAAAAAAATGTAAATACTGCAGAGCTAATAATTGAGAAAATATAAAAAACAAAATTCACTAATGCATATTGATAAAAATGTAGCATACCACAAAGAAATACATAAATTACAGGCAGATAGACCAAGAAAATGAGAAATGCTTTTCTATCTGACTCATTTGTGTTTCCACCTTTCACCCTTGTCCTTTTATCTTATTTTCCCTCAATTTGATAAGCCTTTCCTTGTCTACATTGTTTATTCCCTCAGTATTTCTGTATTTTTCATTCTGGTCCTTCTCTCCTCTGGAGTTGTCAGTTTGAATTCCCTTAATCTATTTCATATCTCAGGCTCCTTAGTTTGGGTATAATACTAGCCATGTTGCAAGGGAAGGGAATTGTCAGGAAAGCACCAAGCCATTATGACTATATAGCACTAGGAAAGGGTCAGGATAAGGATTTCGAATGGGTCAGGGAGGGAAGGAATGTTGCCCAACCACTTGGACGGTTATCTTGAGATGATTTCGGGGCTTAGCGTCCCCGCGGCCCGGTCCTCAACCCAGTCTCTTTTTTGTTACATTCCCCCCCAGGGATCAGCCCATAGCAGCTGTCTAACTCCCTGGTACCTATTTTACTGCTAGGTAACAGGGGCATCAGGGTGAAAGAAACATTTTGCCCATTTGTCTCCGCCTCCACCGGGGATCGAACCCGGAACCTCAGGACTATGAATCCAAAGTGCTGTCCACCCAGCTGTCAGGCGCCCATGAATACGGTCGGGGAATGAACGCCGACCTGTATGAAGCGAGACTGTTGCTCTACCGTCCAGCCCAAGTGGTGGACTAGCCATGTTGCAAACCTCTAGTTATTTTCAACCTTTTTTCTGGACTTCATTATATGCAGAATAATTGCTATTGACATTATCTTATCAATATGTCTAGTTCTGTCATTCTCTCATTCTGATATCTATAATTATCTATAATTACCAATAGAAAATGGACAGAACCATTTCTGTCCCGCCCAGGATTCGAACCCAGAATTCTCGAGTATGCGTCAGGAATGACTCGACTGTACTACTGGGACACCAACTAGTGGGGATCACTTTACTAGTGGGGATCACTTTACTAGTGGGGATCACTTTACTAGTGGGGGATCACTTTACTAGTGGGGATCACTTTACTAGTGGGGATCAGTTACTAGTGGGGATCAGTTACTAGTGGGGATAATTACTAGTGATAACCCACTAAAAGGGCTCATGTGAAGCCACAACTAACTCAGAAATATATATATATCAAATTTACTCTTTAATGAAAAATATTGTATACACATTATAAATAATATTAGTACTGTATTTTTTTTTACACTACAGTAAATGTTACTTATGGTGTTGACATAACTTACCTATCATGATATGTCTTCCATATGAGATTAGCATTTTGTGTCCTTGTAGTACAAAGCGTGACACCATGTGACTCGCCAAACACATGAATTCCATTTAGAGAACCAATTAAGGCATAAGCTGGCTGAAACAAAATTAATTATTTAATAGACTATTTAAAGTTATTTTAATATCTTAAATTTAGATAAGCAGATGTTGACATTAAAATTTATACCCTATTACTGTACCTCATATTCTACTTACACATTCTACTACTACTCTACATATTTTCACACTCAGAAATCTGAGGATTTATAAATTATTAATTGAATTAGATAGGTCGATATATTTGTTATCATAAATTATTAAACTGACTAGCTGTGATTAAAATGCATTTCTCGTATTGTAACAAGCTCATTAAATCTGAACATACAGTACTCAGTATGCATCTAACCTTTGGGTTAGGTACATATATTTTGCCTCAAATTGCCATGATGTTGAGTCAAATTGCAGGAAACAATGCCCTCACACCACCCAAAAAAAACCACAGGGTTCATCCCTTGTTATGAATTATCTTATAGAAGTGATTTTGAGATCTAATTCAAATTTTTTTGTTTGTTTATATACCTGTATAAAGACAATCACCTCAGGTAAGTTTACCTCAGGTAAACTATGTTCATGGTATCTTGTACTGTACTGTATCTATTGTGCAGTTCAATATGAATATTCAAATAATGCAGCACCCCATGTCCATGTACCTGTAACTATTGTATTCACAATCACTAGCCTCTGGTTACATTCTTTAGGTCTGCATAAACATAGTACAGAAGTCCACATAATTATCCAAATCCCCCCCCCCTCATGAAACTTACAGTTGCATGTTGCATAGATGAAACTCAAACATTGTAACATACTGGAAAAATGTACCACTTCACATAAAACAGATGTTGTTGATTTGAGGATATTATCAACTAACATTATGCATCACTTCTGTGTTATTTCATTATAAAATTACCTTATTTCTGCATAAAATTAAGTTCTTTCATTCTTGCATTTATTACCAATATTGCCAACCAATATTATATTTAATTTATGTTTTATTTACATAATTCTAAATGGCATGGTTGGTTATAAGTAGCTTTTGATAACTCATTGGACGTTCAGTACAGTTGGGTATGGTTTAATCATTCAGACAACAATTTGACAAAGCTTGTTTTGGTTTGTTAAAACCATATACTGTATACTGTCATACGCAGTGACAAGCCCTATTTGGATAACTACAAGAAACTGGAAGGTAGTTGGAAAAGTGACAGGCCATATTGTACATAAGACTTTAAAACCTACATAATGTAACCCAATGTAACCTAATTCAACCTAACTTAATATTACCCTCTCCTAGCTTAATGATATAACATATTTATTTATTTATTTATTTATATACAAGAAGGTACATTGGGTTCGTGAAAATACATAGCATAGTATTTACAATCTTGTAAAGCCACTAGTACGCGCAGCGTTTCGGGCAGAAACGCTGCCCGATATTCAGTTTAACTATTAGGAAATCGGCTATATGCAAAACGGCCATTACAAATTTTAACCTTAGCCCCCCGCTAAATAAGGGGCAACTCGTTTTGACACCATTAAGGTATAATTATTAATACACACACCATCACTAGTGGGGTCCTACCACACTCAACACCACCACCACTTGTCAGAACAAGTCCTGCCTAAAAACGTCCATCTAATATTAAACTTTCCCGCACTAACATTAAATGTAGCAGAAGGACTGACAACCACACCGACACTACACTTCAGCTGGAGATATAACTGAATAATAATCTCATGTGTAGCAGCATCCATTCCACCTGTTGCACAGAGTCCCTCCCTCCCTTCGGGGCCTTTTCCACCGACCACAAACTTTGACTTTCCTAGTAATATACTGCGTATTTCCTTGTATTTCACGTGGAATAAACTCTTCAGAGATATACGTACAGGCTTGCCAGGGCCCGTGTGTCGCACGAACAGAGGTACTCCACTGGTAGCGAACAGCCCGACCACTGTACACGACGCCATGTTGTTTACCAGGCGGCCACTGGTGCCACATCCCTGGTGCGGCGCACCTCACCTGGCGGCCACTGGTGCCACATCCCTGGTGCAGCGCACCTCACCTGGCGGCCACTGGTGCCACATCCCTGGTGCGGCGCACCTCACCTGGCGGCCACTGGTGCCACATCCCTGGTGCAGCGCACCTCACCTGGCGGCCACTGGTGCCACATCCCTGGTGCGGCGCACCTCACCTGGCGGCCACTGGTGCCACATCCCTGGTGCGGCGCACCTCACCTGGCGGCCACTGGTGCCACATCCCTGGTGCGGCGCACCTCACCTGGCGGCCACTGGTGCCACATCTCTGGTGCGGCGCACCTCACCTGGCGGCCACTGGTGCCACATCCCTGGTGCGGCGCACCTCACCTGGCGGACATTGGTGCCACATCCCCGCTGCAGCGCACCTCACCTGGCGGACACTGGTGCCACAACCCCGCTGCAACGCACCTCACCTGGCGGACACTGGTGCCACAACCCCGCTGCAGCGTACCTCACCTGGCGGACACTGGTGCCACAACCCCGCTGCAGCGCACCTCACCTGGCGGACACTGGTGCCACAACCCCGCTGCAGCGCACCTCACCTGGCGGACACTGGTGCCACAACCCCGCAGCGGCGCATCTCACCTGGCGGGCACTGGTGCCACAACCCCGCTGCAGCGCACCTCACCTGGCGGACACTGGTGCCACAACCCCGCAGCGGCGCATCTCACCTGGCGGACATTGGTGCCACATCCCCGCTGCAGCGCACCTCACCTGGCGGACACTGGTGCCACAACCTCGCTGTAGCGCACCTCACCTTACGGGCAGTAGTGCCACAACTCAGCTTCGTCACACCTCACCTGGCGAACAGTGATGCCTCAGACATGTTGCGTTACACCTCGCCTAGCAGGCAGTAGTGTGCTTCATTTAACAAGTTATTGTCATCCGCACATTGATCGGGTATTACGTATAATACGCTATTTATAGTGTGTTATTTCGTAACTTTTGTAGCCATGCAGCTGAGAGAGAGAGAGAGAGAGAGAGAGAGAGAGAGAGAGAGAGAGAGAGAGAGAGAGAGAGAGAGAGAGAGAGACAGACAGACAGACAGACAGACAGACAGACAGACAGACAGACAGACAGACAGACAGACAGACAGACAGACAGACAGACAGACAGACAGACAGACAGAGACAGAGAGAGTACAGACAGGTGAATGTGTATCACATGTCTGAATGCGTATCACCAACAGGTGAATGCGTATCAACACAATGAACATAGGTGCATTATTGTACTGCTCACATATGAACACGGGTGTGTTAATGCGGTATAGTGGTACAAGAAACAGTGTCTTTATGGTAATATGATGAGGAGGAAGGTGAAACTGAGGGGATCACTAATTACTCACAATACGTTTCACTCACAACTCCCTTATTCATTTAACCCTTATAATACGATCTGCATATGACAAAAGATGTGATAACTAAGAAGTTTTGATAAATAACAATGATAATACTCTCGTGCATCATTTCTTTAATGTATAATTTTGTTGTGTGTATGGTACTTGTGTATATGGTGATGGTGTGGACCGCAGTGGTGTGGTTGGCGCTGGGAATGAGTAATTTCGCCCTGGGAGTCATTAGGGCCCACCAGATGACTCTCCTGAATAAACGACACTGGTACTACATCTTCCTGCCCCAGCTGGAGCGGTTGAAGTCCCTGCCCCTTCTCGGGAGGTTCATTTGCCCCTTGGTGGTCTTCCCCTTAAGGAGCTGTCTGCCTGGGTGACCCGCATGCCGGTGCTCGGCTCCTTGGTCGCCTTCAACTACCGCGTCAGGCAGGTGTGTGACCTGTGGCTGCGTCTGGATGACGTTGAACTCTGCTCCTGGCACGTAGCCACCCTCGTGGCGGTCGGGATGGGCGTCTATGTCATCGCTCTCACCGCCTGGGCTCTCGTCCGGTCCTTATACGTTTCCTTCATCGCACACCTGGATGTTAGAAACAATATCATCCTCTCCACGAGGGAACGTTGTTGACATCCTAGCCACCTCTCCAACCACTTAGGCTGGACGGTAGAGCGACGCTCTCGCTTCATGCAGGTCGGCGTTCAATCACCGACCGTCCAAGTGGTTGGGCATCATTCCTTTCCCCTGTCCCAGCTCAAATCCTTATCCTGACCCCCTCCAACTCACCTTACCCTGAGTTGCTCAGGGACTGGTGTAGAGACTCGTGACTCTTGAAGCTCTCCCTCCGGAGCGTGCTGGTAAGACTCGTGACTCTTGAAGCCCTCCCTCCCGGACGTGCTGTGACTCTTGAAGCCCTCCCTCCCTCCCTCCGGGACGTGCTGTGACTCTTGAATCCCTCCTTCCGGGACGTGCTGTGACTCTTGAAGCCCTCCCTCCGGGACGTGCTGTGACTCTTGAAGCCCTCCCTCCGGGACGTGCTGGTGAAGAGCACGTTTGTTGAGTAAAAGTGCCCGGCCTCTTGGACGGTCGGAGACTGAAACGCCGACCTGCATATTACAAACACTCAGGTCCGATAGGAGAGAAATTATTGACTCCCAACAGCCTGAAAGCACCAGAATAAACCAGGACCAGTTATGGTCCGAAACCTATGTTTATTGACAGCACAAAACGGATCTCCCAATCCTGAACACTCTAGGTGGAAACTCTGTGAGCAGGAACTGGGGTATGATCTCGTGCACTACATCACTAAATGCCCAGTTATTAGACCATTCAGACCCGTTGGCATGAGGTACCTGGATCTTTGAAATTACTTTATTAACTCTCATGTTCTTGAGGATATCCTCATACTGTACCCAAAATTTGACAGTGCAACCTTATTTATTTATTTATATAATAATTACATTCTTGTAAAGCCACTAGTACGCGCAGCGTTTCGGACAGGTCCTTTATCTAATTTTTTTTTTAAACTAGTAAAATTTATAAAAATGATAATAGGTACATTGCAAGAAAAAAATGAGAGAAATTTGTAGGTATATTAAAGCACATAGGTAGCTCAGATTGACTGCAGTCACAGCTTGAATGGTAGTTTAACAAAAATGAATAGGCACAATGCAGCATATAGCTAGCACATAAAAGAACTGCTACTGCTGAACATATCGCCCTTCATGACTAAGCATCCTGCGAGGGGACAGTTTAGTATCACTGCTACCTTCTTCACTCTCGTGTTCTTAGTGATATCCTCATAATGCACTCAAGAGTTTGCCAGTGCAGACAACTGATCACATGCCTCTGTATGACTAACTATCCTGTGTGATGAACATTTTTAGCATCACGTAGCTAGTTTTTGACATACTCTGTACACATCTTCATAGTGTGCACTCCATGCTCAAGTGGAACGGAACTCTGCTAGGTTTTAAAATACAGCTGGAAAAGATCATCAGGGCAAATGGGGGGGACCTTTGACAAGCTGCCGGCTTCCTGTCCTCGTCGAGGCCACTGGTATTAGTGGCCCTTGTTCGTCTTACATCTAACCTTTTGTAGAAATTGTCTAGATCAATATCCTCCAAGTTTAATATTTTAAAAGTTTCGATGAGATTAGTCCTGTCATGTCTGGTTTGCAATATTAAATTAAAATTTTGCCCGAGGGGCGAGTTTGCAGGATTTGTTAGTTCTGCGGTCCTCAACCGTTCGACTTAGTTTAGGAATGATTCTTGTCGCCCGCTGTTGGACTTTCTCCTAAGCTGAGTTGTCTTTCTAAAAAGCTAGTCAAAGGTTCTCCCCCATTTGACCTGAGGATTTTTATAGCTGGATTTTAAAATTCAACAGTTTGGCATTTACGGCTTCGGCGGTAATTGGGTTTATAACTCTTTGGGTAAAAGAGCTTTACCTAAGAGCCACTAACAATTGTGGCCTCGACGAGGACAGGAAGCCGGCGGCTTGTCGAAGCCCCCCCCCCCCCCTCCCCATTTGCCTCTTCTGCTTTCAATCCTACATTGTGGTTTGAAACCGCTGGTCCTTGTTTGTGTTACATCTGACCTTTTGAAAATGTTGTCTAGATCAGTGTTTCCCATACGTATGTGACTCATACGTCAGGCTGCGAGCAGCCGCGTCCAACAGCCTGGTTGATCAGTCCGGCAACCAGGAGGCCTGGTCGACGACCGGGCCGCGGGGACGCTAAGCCCCGGAAGCACCTCAAGGTAACCTCAAGGTAAGGTTCCCAAATTGTTCCGTATTTTAAACGTTTCAGTGAGATTAGCCTGTCATGTCTGGTATGAGAGTCGACGTAGGTCTGGACTGAGTGTTCCCTGGTGTTGCGATTTTTTTTTTATTAACACAGTCGGGTTTACAGTCGGGTTTACAGTCGGGTTTACAGTCGGGTTCGTTCTCGACGCACACTCGAAAATTTCGGGTTCAAATCCCGGGCAGGACAGAAAATATTGGGCACTTTTCCTTTCACCGTAACCGGTGAATTATTATAATTATTATTATAAAACACACTGAAATCACAATAGCGTGACGCATCAAATGAACAAATCCACAAGGGCCATGACGAAGGTTCGAACCTACGTCCGAGAGGATTAAGGCAGCGTCTGGGATTAAGGCATCCCAGACGCTGCCTTAAACGTTTCAGTGAGAGACGCTTTATCCCGGACGGTAGAGCGACGGTCTCGCTTCATGCAGCTCGGCGTTCAATCCCCGACCGTCCAAGTGGTTGGGGGCACCATTCCTTTACCCCGTCCCATCCCAACTCCTTATCCTGACCCCTTCCAAGTGCTATATAGTCGTAATAGCTTGACGCTTTTCCCTAAAAACTCCCTCCCTCGGACGTAGGTTCGAACCCTTGTCACGGCCCTTGTGGATTTGTTCATTATATATAATAATAATAATAATAATAATAATAATAATAATAATAATAATAATAATAATAATAATAAATTATTATTATTATTATTATTATTATTATTATTATTATTATTATTATTATTATTTAAGTAAAATTACTTTAAAAAAGGATACATGAAGAATGTAACACTAAAGGTAAGTTTTTTACTGAGGTCTACAAGGGGAATGGTCGTTTCGGACACGAGACGATCATACGAAGTTCGTTTTCTGTTTGTTAAAACCGTGTATATTTCTTTCCTAGGCTGTATTAGCTTAGTTTAGACAGTATTTCACTCAGTTTTATTAGGTTAGGTTGAGCTAGATTAAGTTAGGTAGGGTTAAAAATAAAAATACACAAGACGATTTTAGAATCGTCTTGTGTACGATGTGACGTATCCAATTGAAATAAGTGTATATCTAATAAGAAGAATAAGAAATAAGTTTATTTATGTGACGTATCCAAGGCAAGGAGTCAAGAAGGACTGTGCCACAAGCGACCAGTGCGCAGAGCGTGTGTCACTGTTGTGTTGTTTACACCCAACAGCTGAGAGGCGCTCCGCGTGGCTGTAGTAGCGTGGGCCACACATTGGTACGGGAGTAATATTTGGGAGAATTTTCTAAAATTTGTTTGAGTGGCATATACCTATTAGCAGAAGCATCAGTTGAAAGATAACGTTCCCAAACGTCAAGTGTCCAGCCGAAGGCCCGCAGTAGTCTGCAATATAATTTATTTATTTATTTATTTATGCATATACAAGAAGGTACATTGGGAATGTGAGGATACATAATATGGTAATTACAATCTTGTAAAGCCACTAGTTCACTATAAGGGAAAGTTCCATGGCCCATACATAGACTAGAGACTGACTAACTTCAGCAGCCACATACAACACAGCTAAAAAAAAAGTAAAAAACGGTCGGTATACTTTCTAAAATCAGATATTATGTTCCCCACACTGCTCTCCTCTCCTTATACTACGTGTTAATATATCCCTATCTTACATACGGTATCTGTGCACGGGGTTCAATCACTGCAAATTACCTGAAGCCTATCATCACTCAGCAAAAATCTGCTAACAGAACTATAACAAACTCTATCTTCAGACAACACACAGTCCCTCTGTTTGTCCCTTAACATGCTAAACATACACGCCACACATTCTCACGTGCAATCGACATGTACAAAACCCTTGTTCCTAAATGCTAATCTTGATCTGAAGCTTTTCCTTGATAGGTGTAATAGAACCCATGAGCATCACACCAGCAATAAATATCTCTTTAATATCCCCAGTCAAACTAAATCTGTGCAAATAAAATAAATAAAACGCCATGCAAATAAAAGGACGCAGATTCGAATCCTCATCACGGCCATTGTAAATTTGTTCTTGTGAATAAATATACAGGTATTATTATTATTTTTATAGTCAAACTCTGACAACTGGGGTGTGAACTGCTGTGCTACAAGACCCATAATAATAAATAATATTATGTCGGTGGAAAGTGTAAACAGTTATATTTATTGTAGTGAAATCTTCTAAATATAATCATTGATATAACCCTTACCCTGCCTAAAAGTTATGAATGGCAAGTAGAGACAATTCTATTACACCTATGAAATGGTATTTTGAGAAAGGCTAATGGAGCAGTGCAGTTTTTTATGCTGTTGAAGTAGCAAGTATTTTCTCTTCCACACACTAACCATAGCTGATGATATATAATACCTGACTGGTATAATTATTTTGTGTACCACATTAAACACTACCGAATCTCTGTTTAGGGATGGTAAGATTTTTAGCTTTTAAATTTTCTCCTAAAGTTGCAGATGAATTAGTGTCATAAACATTGCCTGATTTAACCAGGGTGTTAGAAATAATGAACTTCCCCTCTATCACTTCAAAGAAAACTATTGTGCAGAGTGGCTCTCTTACTGAGCAAGAGTCACTTAAATTTTTAATTGTAAGTTGCAAACACAGCATATGCAAAATATTGTGCCTGATAATATCTACTCGAAACGCTATGTATGTTAATGGCATTAGGCATAGTGGCATGTAAAAACACCAATGTAATTTACTCTCACAAACTTAATTTTCCTAATGTAAATAAATAAATAAATAAATAAAATAGTGTTTATAAATATTGTTCAGGAAGGGTCCCCCGGGCTCATTCTTGACCCACAATCAAGAATTCTGGGTTCGAATCTCGGGTGGGGCAGAAATGGTTGGATGCACTTCCAATGCCTAGCAGTAAATATGTACCCAAGAGTTAGTCAGCTTGTGGGGTTGCATCCTGGGGGGAGGGGGGGTGGTGTCAGCAGTTCGACTTTGGGGAGATCTCGATATAAGTAACATTTATACAGTATTCAAACTAGCTGCCTCTCCTCTGACACAATGAATTAATTGTTATATTATTTGTATAAAGTTATTTTTAATTGAAGCTTGTATTGAAAGAAAAATTAATATTAAATAAATACATATGTTGTGATTGGTTTGGTTAAGTTTTAAGGTATAGTTAAGAAAACTATAGTGTATTTACTTTGAAGCTAGTGGTTGCCAATATTTTTACAGTAGCCGTAAACCTACCAACTAATGTAATATGATAATGGCTTTCTTATCTTAAAGAAGTTAGATATGTACCTGTAGTTCTGAGCAGGTTTTACCCTTCCAAAATGTTATACAGTACTGTACTTAGTTTTTTGTTTAAAATTATTTAACTTTGTTTTGCCAGTTCTCTGCTTCTTGTGCTGTTTTGGTATTGATTAAAAGCTTCAAGCTCTTGTAAGGAATTAAAATAAAATACAATAACATTAAGTGCTGAATTTCTTCTACTGGGTCCTTTACATATCATGCTATACATATAAATACTGTAAATTGTTTCTACAGAAAGAATGAGTTGTCAGAGAGGTAACACGAGCCGGATACGTTGTCAGAAACATCAGAATAAATCCGTTTTCAAGAACAGCCTCCATGATAGTAGTAAACGCACCAAAATGATCAATAACCTGGAAATTGCTGAAGTAAGAAAGAATTTTTACATTGTTATATGTAATTTGTTCTCATCTTAGAATTTGGATGTGTTAAGGTGACTAACTTTGTGTGATTTGCATTGGTATAGGGGTGTATACCCTTAGTGTAAACCCATACACTTAGTTCCTTCATCTCTGTGTGAACCTCAGATTTAGTCTTGCAGGTTTGGTAGGTCCTAAAAAGTCATCAGATGTCTGACTGTTGACAGTGACTAATGAATCAAACCCTATATTTAACTTTGATCAAAAAACTTCCATAAGTGCTCAAGATCAGTGAATGTGTCCCAAGTTGTTAAATGTGATTTTGAAATCTCTTCCTAATGTCTTTGAATTAGAATTATATCTTATTTTATAGTACAGTATTATTTTAATTTGAACTCTATACTTTAATGTTTATATTAAATGTTTTTTGTAAGAAATTTTACATTTTTCAGGTATGTAAAAGATGTCAAGAGGTGATAGCGTGGAAAATCAAATACAAAAAATATAAGCCGTTAACTCAACCCAAAACTTGTGCCAGATGTCACCAAAAGACTATCAAGGTAAATGCCTGCTGGTAAAGGTTGTTTCTAATGTCATACAGCCCAATATACTTTATGGTATACATATAACATTACAGTATGTACAGTTTTGAGTTTAGTTAATTTATTATGCACCTATTCATCCTGTAGAAAATGTTAGAGGTACATAATGAGCTTAGGAAGAGAGCCCCAGTAAATATAGTACAGTAGGTTATGTTACTTTTTTAAAAACTGTGTTAGAACACTATTACAATGCTGTACTTCCTTATTTATGTGTAAAAACAAATTTAATAAAATTATGCATTGTATGTAGTATACCAAGTTTCCCAGTTGCCTGGTCTGACTGGTCTCTGACCAGGCCTCTAGATTAAGTCTGTTCAAATTATGCTGTTAGTGCCTGCAGCTCGTCTTGTGTGTAGGCACCACAGATCTGTTGATTAGGTAGTCTTTGGAGATTATCAAGTGCCAACCTGAACACAAGTCTGTTGGTAATTTCCCTTATATTTGAGGGTGTGTGTTAAAAGCCTTGGGTCTCGTATATTAATAGAATTCCCTTTTAGTGCACTTAATACAGTCCTACCTTTAAATGGATCTGAGTTGTAGAGTAATACTAGTTTCCCAAATTGTCTTTAGAGCTTAAATGCTTAATCTTGACAAAGGATATTGTTCTTTTACCTTAAACATTTGAGCAAGATATGCTTGAATCATGGTACAATTCATAACATTAAACTTGTTGATATGCTTCAAAGATACGACTGTTCATGTTGAGGTTTCTTTGTGCAAGGATTAAGTGTGAATATTGTCCAGAATAACATAGGAAATAAGGTTGGGTGGCAGCAGTTTATGAAGAGAGAGTAAATGTTTTATTCAAACCATAAACTCATAATGAGCAGCATGCACCTAGTCTTATGAAGTAGTATGAAGCATCAGTGGATTATTTGCTGAGGTGTAGTGGGACTTGTTCTCTATACAGTATTATGATACAGTTCATTAATGACCTTACCGTGACTTTTGAAAACATCAGTGTGGCACAATTGCCTGAATATTATTCTGTGTATGATCCTGGTCACATGATACCCTGTACCACAAATCTTTCCTTGACCCCTAAACTGTGCAGCTATTTAAAAGTACTACATCAAAGTGTGTGTGTTTAAAAGTAGTTAACAAATTGAATCTGTAAAAAATGATAGTGAGTGGAGCACAGGAGGAAATGACAGGTAGCAATTAGAGCAGTGTAAGGGTTAAGGAGCAACCGAATGATTTTTCTAACAAAAAAATGCTTTTCATATTGACTCGACTTTATTTTTTTCTCTGGGCTGATACAGTACTTTCCCTGCCAATGGAAGTGGAGAATTCAAATTTGATTATTGTGTATAACTTGTACTGTATTACTACTGCATTCTAGCTTAGTTCTCAGATTGAGTCTCCCGCAGAGCCTTTGTTTTGTCTTATCATTTGCATATAATTTTTACACAAAACATTTTAAAACTATAGTATATTTTCAGCATTGTTGTCTATTGGCAGGATGCCTACCACATTTTGTGTATTGCTTGTGCAAAAGATCTGGATGTGTGCTGCAAGTGTGGGAAGAAGGAAGAGATTGTTGCTCATAAATCACCCACAGAAATGGTAAGACCAATTTTTTTGTATAATCCTTTGTATCTGAAAAATAAGTAAACCATTAAAATACTGTGTATAAATTAATAATCAATATTTTATCCATAAATCATTTTAATAATTTGTCTAAACTTTAAACAGAAATTCTAAGGCAGTTTTTCATTGCTTATATTTGTGAATAGCAAATGGCTCCAAGGAGTATGACTTTTCATGAATATTGTTCATGTGAAGTTAGAAAATTTAAATGTATTATGAATGAATCCTGAACTTTTATTTGATGTGAGTCTATAGCAAAGAATGTTTCAATAATAATAATAATAATAATAATAATATAAACTTTTAAAGCCTATCAAGATTTTTTTATTGAAGAAGACTAAGTAAATTTAAATGGTAACTAATTTAGATTACATGTTGTCTATCTTTGGTATATGACTTATAAAAGGTCTATATTTTGTTTGATGATTTTTCTAGATACATTATACTTCAACAGCTTTGTCAAGGTCTGAGTATGTGGTTAGGATAAGCTGTGTAGTACCGTTTGTATATAGACAGAAAATCATACCAAGCTGAAAAGTATAGAATAATAGGAAGCCTCAGAGCATATGTTAGATTAAGAATGTAATAACAAAACCAAGATACAGATGGAATAATGGTTTTGATGTTTTACTAAATGTTACATCAGTTTCAATTTATCACCTGGAAGTCTGGTCTTGTTTTGGTCAGTTGTAATAGAAAACTCTTAAAAACCAACCACAGGTAAAGTGTGTATTTCCTGCGTGCCTTTAATAAACTTGGGCATCTTTATGTTATATTTTTATATGTTCTAAAGCAGGAGTATTATGTTGTGGTAGTGCCTGTTTAGCTTCACTGTTAAACTGTCTGTTTATTCTCTGAGAGCTTTAATCCTTTAGTATATGAACTCTTAATACAGTTTTGTGGCATTAATACTTTTATCAAATACTGTATACATTTGGGGTTGAAGGCAATATGTTAAAGGTAAATATGGCAGTGAATAATGTATTTGTCACTTCATCAGTTATGTTAAGCACAGTTGTTTGGTCAGTAACTGGATGGGTGACCACAAGGACACAGCCCTGCCCTTGGTTAGGTGGATCTCGACAAGTAAATTAAGGGCTTGCTCTCTTCAAGCGGTTAATCCTCTACCTAAATTAATGATTTATGTGCCCTTTATTACAAGTATTTGATTTATATCTTGAAAGAAAGAGAGAGATTGTGTTTTTGTTGTTTAATATCACACGGAAATTACATTTAGAAAATATATTGCTTGGAAAAAGTCTTGTCAATTTATAAATCATTCAGAAAATTAATGTTAGAATCTCTCAAAATTTGTTTATCCTTAGGAACGGTTGCAGACAATGGCACAGCTGGATATGGAGGTGAAATGTCTTTCAGAACGCAGACGACGAGCATATTACAGGTCTGATTATTTTATTTGCATAAATTTACTTGGTTTACCTCTGTTTTTTTTTAAACCTGGTTTCTAGGAAGCATCTTGTGTCATCATGTTTTCTTAGAGCTTAAACTAAATTATTAAGTTGTATGTCTTATCTTCATGCATGGCCAGAAAATATTCTTAAAGTTGTAATAACCTCACCCACATACTGTATATGAAAAAAAAAGGAAATTGACAACATTTTGGTTTGTTCAAGGTATTGTAAACCAAAATGTTGTCACTTTCCTTTCTTTTTACATGTATGGGTTGGGTTAATAATTTTCAGCCACAATATTGTAAATTGTTCTCTGCCCGAAGTTGTATATATATTCTTCTATATACTGTAATATGTTTCTGTTGGCTTAAGAATAATGTGCAATATTCCTTCATTTCCTGACACCTTTGATCTCTAGTCCTTCATGAAGCATCTGCAAAAATATCTTGGTTGCAATTCTGATATTTATTTTATTTGTACCTTACACTATTTTTGCTCTACACTTTGCTTGTACTGTTGTCAATTATGTAAGCAAAATTATTGCCCACCTTTTCTACAGTGTATTGGATGGTAGTCCAAGCAAATCTTAAAGTATATACTGTACCATGATTTTCATATACAGTGGCACCTCCAAAATCCAGACTACCATGTAATGAATCCTTCAAATAATAAACCGATTCTACTATAAGACTTCCGAGCCAAAATTCTGATTTTTTTGAGACTGGATCTGAATTTTCAATTTGCTGTAATTAAATCTGGATGTAGTAAATTCCAGGTGATCACATTATTCCATTGTTATTCTTAATTATACAATACAGTATAATACAGTAGTAAATATTACTTTTAAAATTTTATTTTTATTTATAAACCTTTTGCTATACAGTACTTACACCGTCTAATATAGATTGTACAATGCAATCAGTTTGATATATTTTATGTAGTCAATGCTACCACTGGAAAAGTCCACACTTTGATCTTTTTCCTATGTGCTGGAGGAAACACATGAATCTTTAAGTTCACAATACTCGTTGCATTTTTCTCTTCCATGTTACATCCGATAATAAGTTAAAATTTCATATTTTACTTACTTATGACAATTATTTGCCTGTGATTTGTGTAATTTGCTGCAATTAAAAAATTAATGTAGTGTTGTGATATCTTGTCATCAAATTTGTTAGAGTTGCCAGCCTTTCTATTAACAGTTTTTTGCTACCCTATTGCATTAGTATTTTGATAAGCATCATGTATTGTTTCATTCACCTGGGTACTAGGAGCCTCGAACAGCCAATTCCCAGCACGGGAGGCGGAGGTTTATCATGTACCGTGTTAAAAAAATATTATTTGCTTCCATTTCAGGTATATTAATAAACTTCAAGGAAAAAATAAGAAAAAGAAGAAACTTGATCAACCTGCAGATGTGTCTGGAAAAGGAGAGGTTAATGAAGAATCTGGTGAAGAGGAAGGGGAAAATGATGAGCCAACACATATCTCATTAGAAGAATACTTCCATAATGCTCGACAGAAATTGGAGGAGCTAAAGAAGGGAATGCTTGATGACAATGACATATTTGAGGATATAGAGGACCTAAGTATTGATAGTGGGGAGGACGATGATTAACACTTTCGCTCACCCCGCGCGCCACCCCTCGACAGGGCGATATGGGCCCCAGAGTGTCACGGAAGCGCGCGTTAATTCCGAAAAGTGTATACTCTCTTCAACTTTGTCACCTCAATTCTCCTTCTACGAGATTAAATTTGGTATCATTGTGTTCGCAATAAAATTCTCTACAGCACTAAATGCATATAAACTCCAAAAGCCCGGCTAATTACCCGCAGCAAACAGAGAAAGTGCGAACGAGTTACCCGGGAGCGCGCAAACGGGATAAAATGTTTTCACTATTTTCACTCTGGTCACCTCAATTTTTGTCCTAGGTCTTTCATTTTGGTCTCAATGGGTTCGTAATAAAATTCTCTAGAGGAACATTAGCCTATAAAAAAAAAAACCTGGTCACGCTCCAACCGCCGACGAGTTGAAGACGGGCCACGTGTTAGCCGTGAGTGAGTGCTCAGAGGCCTTCCTGCTACACTCCCAATTCCTACCCTTTTCAAGCCTTTCTTTCGCAATTTTCTTCCTGGAAGGGCCTTGTTCATGATTACTATCCATCGTGGAGTAAGCGTAGATAGTTTCTAAAGCCGCAGTAAGAAATATAGCCACGGAAAATAGCCGAAATGTTCACACGTTTGAGATGCGAGGGGAAGCGACATTGGTCACAACAGTGGAGCAAAGACAATGGGCCCACGGCGTGTGCCAAGCAGCCTGAGGGCGACGAGGCTCAACAAAGAAAATGGGAAGACATCGGCGCACATTTTAAAACCAGTCCCCAAAAAATCGGATAAAAACCTGATTTTTGGCGAATTTTTAAAGTGGATGACGCAATGCTGCGTCATCCCCGGCATTACCGCCAGTAAACGGATGACGCAATGCTGCGTCATCCCCGAGCGAAAGTGTTAAGTATATGTTAATTTTGCTTTATGAAACTAGAAATAAAGTCCTCTTGAATAAATAGAAATGTGTGTGGCATTCAGAGTACTGTAGTCACAGAATTATGCAGATTTTGTATGTAATTTTCAATAAATTTTTAATTTATAATAATTTATTGTACTCAGTGATGTTTTATTATTTTTAAAATGTTGAAATAGTAAAGTTCAAGTACAGTATCTTCATGGGAGAGAGAGGGTATATGATACAGGAACTACGTAAGCAAGTTGCCAACAGATAAGGGTCAACTTAAGGGTTTAAGTTGTTGGCAACTGGCAAACATCAAGCTTTTTTTTTTTTTTAAATCAACATTGCTTCAAATATATTAGTTTGACAAGTGCAAATATGAAATATATCTAAAAAGAAACATACTTTAAACATTTTAACATGTTGGATCTGAGAAAGCTGTCAAATCTCAGAATTTTTATAAAGCTGATTGGGATTATGAGGTACAATATTTAAACCTGATGTGTGTAGATTAGGCAACTATAATAAAAGAAGTAGGATATATTGTATTTTAATTCCATATGTTAGGGCCGAGAGTAATATACTGTCTCTTAGGTCCTTAGCTCTACACTAACATTTCATCCTTTCATTATACTACTAATTTCTCCTTCCACTCTTCCCCACTTATTATTCTCTCTTACCTTCATGACTCCCATAGTTTTGAAAACTTAATACCTCTCCAAGTAATTATTTCCATATTTTTATCCTACAGTTCAAGTCATTGTCTTGCCACTCTATAGGGATCTACAAAGTTCACATCTCATTCCCTTCTCACAAAGATATTGACTACTTTTTTCTTAGACTGACCTTCAATTTTCTTCTCTTCTACACACTAATTCATAATCGTTTGAAATTTCTCCTCATTCAGCAAAAAAGAATGCATCATCTGCTTGCAAACATGTCTTTAAAACCACCTTATCTCTATCACAATCCACTTCCACACTCATGCCAGGCATTCTTGACTTCACCTCACTTCTATATTCCTTCAAACTTCAAACCTCCTTCATATATATTTATATTTATTTTAAAGAACCAAGGCAACATTACACAACTCTGTTTTACTTCTATACCAACATTAAAACACTTGATCTATACAGCCCCTGCCTGTGCTAAGCTCAGCTGGTTTCTTTCCCCTGGGATGCTACATAAATCATTCACTGTAGGTCCCACATTCGTCCCTATTAACCTTTCCCTTATATTATTGAGATCCAATGAGATCAAAATAAATAAATAAATATATATATATATATGTCGTACCTAGTAGCCAGAACTCACTTCTCAGCCTACTATTCAAGGCCCGATTTGCCTAATAAGCCAAGTTTTCCTGAATAAATATATTTACTATAATTTTTTTCTTATGAAATGATAAAACAACCCTTTTCTCTATGTATGAGGTCAATTTTTTTTTATTGGAGTTAAAATTAACGTAGATATATGACCGAACCTAACCAACCCTACCTAACCTAACCTAACCTATATTTATAGGTAAGGTTAGGTTAGGTAGCCAAAAAAAGCTAGGTTAGGTTAGGTTAGGTAGGTTAGGTAGACGAAAAAACATTAATTCATGAAAACTTGGCTTATTAGGCAAATCGGGCCTTGAATAGTAGGCTGAGAAGTGCGTTCTGGCTATTAGGTACGACATATATATATATATATATATATATATATATATATATATGTCGTACCTAGTAGCCAGAACGTACTTCTCAGCCTATTATGCAAGACCCGATTTGCCTAATAAGCCAACTTTTCATGAAATAATGTTTTTTCGGCTACCTAACCTACCTAACCTAACCTAACCTAACTTTTTAGGGTACCTAACCTAACCTAACCCATAAAGATAGGTTAGGTTAGGTTAGGTAGGGTTGGTTAGGTTCGGTCATATATCTACGTTAATTTTAACTCCAATAAAAAAAAATTGACCTCATACATAATGAAATGAGTAGCTTTATCATTTCATAAGAAAAAAATTAGAGAAAATATATTAATTCAGGAAAACTTGGCTTATTAGGCAAATCGGGCCTTGAATAGTAGGCTGAGAAGTGCGTTCTGGCTACTAGGTACGACATATATATATATATATATATATATATATATATATATATATATATATATATATATATATGTCGTACCTAGTAGCCAGAACGCACTTCTCAGCCTACTATGCAAGGCCCGATTTGCCTAATAAGCCAAGTTTTCCTGAATTAATATTTTTTTTCTTATGAAATGATAAAGCTACCCATTTCATTATGTATGAGGTCAATTTTATTTATTGCAGTTAAAATTAACGTAGATATATGACCGAACCTAACCAACTCTACCTAACCTAACCTAACCTACCTTTATAGGTTAGGTTAGGTTAGGTAGCCGAAAAAGTTAGGTTAGGTTAGGTTAGGTAGTCGAAAAAACATTAGTTCATGAAAACTTGGCTTATTAGGCAAATTGGGCCTTGCATAATAGGCTGAGAAGTGTGTTCTGGCTACTAGGTACGACATATATATATATATATATATATATATATATATATATATATATATATATATATATATATATATATATATATATATATATATATATATTTTATTAAATATGACCGAAAAAGTAAGATTAATAATTCTAACACGAATTTTCTCAATCTTTCGTACATTATGCTTCACTGTTGGAGGTAAATCAAAAATCACTTCTCCAAAATTCATTTTTATTTCTAGTCTGACGCGACACGGGCGCGTTTCGTAAAACTTATTACATTTTCAAAGACTTCACAAATACACAACTGATTAGAACTTGCATTTCCCTGATTTTATATCTACTTTTGAGTGAGGTGGGAAGGGTGATGTGGCATTACATTTGAGTGAGGTGGGAAGGATGATGTGGCATTAGAGGATATTAATAGGGTATTAAAAGTATCAACACAAGACAGAACACGAAACAATGGATATTGAATAGAAGTGTTTGTAGAAAGCCTATTGGTCCATATTTCTTGATGCTTCTATATTGGAGCGGAGTCTTGAGGTGGGTAGAATATAGTTGTGCAATAATTGGCTGTTGATTGCTGGTGTTGACTTCTTGATGTGTAGTGCCTCGCAAACGTCAAGCCGCCTGCTATCGCTGTATCTATCGATGATTTCTGTGTTGTTTACTAGGATTTCTCTGGCGATGGTTTGGTTATGGGAAGAGATTATATGTTCCTTAATGGAGCCCTGTTGTTTATGCATCGTTAAACGCCTAGAAAGAGATGTTGTTGTCTTGCCTATATACTGGGTTTTTTGGAGCTTACAGTCCCCAAGTGGGCATTTGAAGGCATAGACGACGTTAGTCTCTTTTAAAGCGTTCTGTTTCGTGTCTGGAGAGTTTCTCATGAGTAGGCTGGCCGTTTTTCTGGTTTTATAGTAAATCGTCAGTTGTATCCTCTGATTTTTGTCTGTAGGGATAACGTTTCTATTAACAATATCTTTCAGGACCCTTTCCTCTGTTTTATGAGCTGTGGAAAAGAAGTTCCTGTAAAATAGTCTAATAGGGGGTATAGGTGTTGTGTTAGTTGTCTCTTCAGAGGTTGCATGGCTTTTCACTTTCCTTCTTATGATGTCTTCGATGAAACCATTGGAGAAGCCGTTATTGACTAGAACCTGCCTTACCCTACAGAGTTCTTCGTCGACTTGCTTCCATTCTGAGCTGTGGCTGAGAGCACGGTCGACGTATGCGTTAACAACACTCCTCTTGTACCTGTCAGGGCAGTCGCTGTTGGCATTTAGGCACATTCCTATGTTTGTTTCCTTTGTGTAGACTGCAGTGTGGAAACCTCCGCCCTTTTCCATGACTGTTACATCTAGAAAAGGCAGCTTCCCATCCTTTTCCGTCTCGTAAGTGAAACGCAGCACGGAACTCTGCTCAAATGCCTCCTTCAGCTCCTGCAGATGTCTGACATCAGGTACCTGTGTAAAAATGTCGTCAACATACCTGCAGTATATGGCCGGTTTCAAGTTCATGTCGACTAAGACTTTTTGCTCGATGGTACCCATGTAGAAGTTTGCAAACAGGACACCTAGGGGAGAACCCATAGCGACCCCATCTACTTGCTTATACATATGCCCATCCGGGCTCAAGAAGGGTGCCTCTTTAGTACAAGCTTGGAGTAGTTTCCTCAGAATACTTTCTGGCATGTCAAGAGGAGTACAGGCTGGATCACGATACACTCTGTCGGCTATCATTCCGATTGTCTCGACCACAGGTACGTTGGTAAACAGCGATTCTACGTCCAACGAGGCTCTTATCCCTGTGGCCCGTGCGCCCCGCAGTAAGTCCACAAATTCCTTTGGAGACTTCAGGCTGAAGGCGCAAGGAACATAAGGAGTCAGCAGGCCGTTGAGTCGCTTTGCCAATCTGTACGTGGGTGTGGGTATCTGGCTAATGATTGGCCGAAGTGGGTTTCCAGGCTTGTGCGTCTTGACATTTCCATACGCATATCCAGGTTTATATTCCCCAATGATCTTTGGCAGGTGGAGTCCGGATTTCTTGGCGTTCACAGTTTCGATCAGTTTGTTGACCTTTGCTTTTAATTCGGCTGTAGTGTCCTTCGTTACCCTTTGGAACTTAGTTTGGTCAGAGAGTATGATGTTCATTTTCGCCAGATATTCGTCTTTTTTAAGAATGACATATATTGGCGACTTGTCACCTCTCCTGACAACTATCTCCTTGTTCTCGCGAAGGCTTTTAGCTGCCGCTCTAAGCTCGGGGGACAGTATGGTGCTTCTGTAGTTGCCTCGATTCTTTCCTCCTTCTGCAATAAGTTCTGCTTGTAAGGTATCTTTGGTAGTGACCTTCTTTTGTGTCTCGAGGTCGAATATGTCGTCCAACAGAATTTCCAACTCCACTTTCCGGGCCATTTCACTCGGTCTGGACATAACATGACAGTTTATGCCCAGATTTAGGAGAGTGACTTGGTCCTCAGTGAGGTTAATTCCTGCAAGGTTCAGGAAGCCATCTCTTGGTCGTGGAATTGCCATAGGTCCTCCATATAATGTTGTTAGTTTCTTGATAATCCTTGTTTCAGTGCTGAGGTGATGTTGACCAACATCACCTCAGCTCATTGGCCCGGAAAGTGGAAAGAATCGAGGCAACTACAGAAGCACCATACTGTCCCCCGAGCTTAGAGCGGCAGCTAAAAGCCTTCGCGAGAACAAGGAGATAGTTGTCAGGAGAGGTGACAAGTCGCCAATATATGTCATTCTTAAAAAAGACGAATATCTGGCGAAAATGAACATCATACTCTCTGACCAAACTAAGTTCCAAAGGGTAACGAAGGACACTACAGCCGAATTAAAAGCAAAGGTCAACAAACTGATCGAAACTGTGAACGCCAAGAAATCCGGACTCCACCTGCCAAAGATCATTGGGGAATATAAACCTGGATATGCGTATGGAAATGTCAAGACGCACAAGCCTGGAAACCCACTTCGGCCAATCATTAGCCAGATACCCACACCCACGTACAGATTGGCAAAG